ATCTATATGTCATATCTATACAATAAAATTTGCAGGCAACTTTAGTAGAAAAAAGTTACAAATGGTTGAAATGTGTGACAATCTGGCATTTATTTAAGCTATTTTGAAGGGGTGGGGGTAATTTATTACATGTACAGTGCCCATTATATTGGTCATATTGGTTCTGATCAAAGCATACTCATAATTTTACTATTGTTGATAAATAAATGCACATTCAATTTCAAAAAGGAATTTTATATTCATCACAATCGAAACTTGAAAAAGGGGGGGGGGGTTTATAGGAATCACCTTGTTCAACCCTCCATATGTATGTTAAATTTTTACATGTTCATAACATTTCAATGAAACACCAATGAACGTTCATACTTGATATTAAGATTGATTATGATCTGGAGATGTGTCCAAAACTTGACCCAAGGTCATTTGAACAATTTCAAGGTCATTGGTAGAAGAATAGTGCAATCGTTGCCCATTCTAATGGAAAGACTTAAAATTTCTTCTCAGGGATTGTTCTTGAGCTGTGGGTTTGTCATGACTATGACCAAAGTTCATTTGGACATGTTTGACCTTGACTCAAGGACATAGCTTTTTCAAGGTCACTGCAGTAAAAGTGTACTATATGAGTTTGGTACATTTACATATTCTTATAACTTCGAATGAAGAGAAATCGGAAGTTTGTGCTCTACACAATTTAAAGGTTTTACTACCTATGACTTGAGTATATGTCATATTCATTTGGATATGTATATATGTATTGCAAAGTTTTAAAAAGGTTTTAAATAAATATTTGGACCTTTGTTTGTAATTAAAACATTTTATGCAATAGCAGGAGGGTGGGTATCACTTAATGAGCTTGCTCACAATAATGCTAGTTTATAAAAGAGAATCACTTTGACACTTCATATAATTTTAAAGTAAAACCATATCAATCAGGCATGTGGCATCAGTTTTGGGTTGCTTAGGGGGGATGACACATTCAAAATTGCCCTAATTAAGAAACAATATTTCATGACAGCTAAGATCTCTAAGTACCAAAAATGAAAATCTACAAGGGCTATTTATATATGTATATAAATGAATGTCTCAAACTTCAACTGACTCTAAAAAAAATTATAAGAATGCTATAAAGTGAAATATTTAAAATGAAAGCTTTGTATTAAACTAGTCCTCATTTTTTTAACTCACAAAAATATTTTGTCAGTTTTGAAATTAATTGATTGATTGGGGGTATATATGAATCAGTTTGTCCGTCCGTCTGTCTAGCTGTGCAAAAGTGTCCGGTCCATATCTTTCTTCTAGAGGAACATTAGAATCAACCCCTCCACACAAAGATTGCCCATGACCTAAGGGTGTGTCATGACCTTGACCAAAGGTCATTTGGGGAAGTTCAAGGTCACTGGAAGAAAAATTTCATAATACGTGTCTGGTCCATGTCTTTCTTATAGATAAACTTGGTAGGCTCTCATTTCACACAAAGATTGCCCATGACCTAAGGGTGTGTCATGACCTTGACCCAAGGTCATTTGGGGAAGTTCAAGGGTACTAGAAGAAAAATTTCCTAATTCGTGTTTATAATTGAAAAACTTGAATACACACCTGAGTTTGTGTCATGACTTTATACCAAAGTCATTTATGCAAGTTCAAGGTCACTGAAGAAGAAGTTAATAATTTGTGTCTGATCTGTATATAAAGTCTATTTTCTTTTATTAGGCTGCGCCTTCGTTTCATTTATAAAAAATTAATGAGCAACTACATTTGCACTAAAAATGTTTTAGCATTTCTCTCTTCTCTTAGATCCATAAAATATTCAAGATTTAGCACCTCTAAACAAAACCCAGCGGGGGTATTTTGTCCCATTTGGACAGTTCTAGTTTAATATTGACCTTGTTTTAATTACATATGATACATATACTTCAAAATGCAGAATATAAAGATATGTTTCAGATTCTTCTACTATCTTATTATGAATCTGCATGCCAAAAATTGATAGTCATTAGATTTACATCGATACAAAAATGATAACAGACAAACAAACTTTTGGATTGAACATTTTTATTTGATCCACTTTAATGAATACAATTTATGGATCTATTTTATGGCTCCCTGAGGGTATTACATGTATTATCCACTCACTTCCTGCATCAATGGGCCTGTACTGTAATAATGTATTCTCGGAATCTGAAAAAGTGATAAAATTAAAATGTAATAATATTATACAGCTTGTCTTCATTTACTAGGATCAATGTCTAGTTGAGCTTGAACAATGGTGATGAATGCAAGCATGCTTATTGGAATCAATTAAATTCCAAGAAATCTCAATGGTTTATCATTTTATTTAAAAAAGTTAACATTTCTACTAATTTAAATGTATTATTTACTTGTTTTTCCTGTGTTATTCTAATTATCAGCTCATTCAATTCTGTTTCTGCTTCTTCCCGATTTTGACTTCAAAGTGCCGAATTTCATTCTAAAAACAGAAGTGAACAACACAAATTAGATAATAAAAAGGTCAACTGATTCTAGGTTTTTGTCATTTTGTCAAAACTCTAAATTATGTTTTTAATATCTTTCCATTACCCCCCCCCCCCCCCCCCAAAGAATAAATGGCATATAGATATTCATTTCGTAACATTTTTGTGCTTTCAATCTAATGATGCTTATTATTTGAACCTAGTAGGCTTAAATTAGTTCAGTGGTACCGGAGAAAATGTTAGCTGGACATGAATTTTCTTTTATAGGTAAACACTGGATGACAGCAGCAAAAAGTTTTGTTTTGTTTTTTTTAAATTCATTTTTTTGCTGTGGTATATTTACAATTCAGTTACCACTAGTACACTACTTTATACAGTTGTCTGTATCACAATACTTCCGAGGTAATCCCCTTTCCTAAACTAAAAGTATTAAGTACAGTAACAGAGTTAACCCCCTTCCTCCTTTTCATTTTTTTTCGGACGCCCTAACAAAAGTCTTTCAATTTTACAAATATTTCATAATAGTGTTGGTTTCATAGATTCATATCTTTTTTTTCATGTGAAAAGCAGGTATTATCTTAAATGTTAAGTAAAAATATCTTCTTTACAAAATGTTGATTTACCAGACTATCAATTTATGAATTATAATCATTGTAGCTGGTGAGTGACTTTGGTTTTGTAATGGTTAGGGCCGTGGATATCGGCCTGGATAGCTCAGTTGGTAGAGCACCTGACTAGAGATACAGGGGTCCCGGGTTTGATTCCCGGTCCAGCCATGCATTTTCTCTTTTCCTGTTACAGATTTGGTGCCGTTGACCACCCCTGGAATTGCAGGTGAAAGTCCTGCCAGGGGCAATAAGAACTTGGGTTGTGTCTTCGAGGGCGAAGACCATTTAAGGAGGGAGGAATGTAATGGTTTGGGCCGTGGATATCGGCCTGGATAGCTCAATTGGTAGAGCACCTGACTAGAGATACAGGGGTCCCGGGTTCGATTCCCGGTCCAGCCATACATTTTCTCCTTTCCTGTTACAGTTGCATACATACTGTGAATACGACAAATCAAAATTATAAACTAAATTAAAATTAAACTTTATAATTTGTGATACAGTGATGTGACTGACCAACCTTTTCACGTTAGGTCCACAGATACAATCTAAGTTGGGGGATTAAATTTATTTTATCACGATAAATTGATATTATTGTTTAATATCGGCAATATTAGGGGGGGAGAACATACCCACTCCGCTTTGTTCCTCGAGCCATGCATAATCTTTCTTTTTAATATTATAAACTACTTAAATAATGCTAACATATATAATCAATCAGAATTATTTAAATCAAATTAAAATGTACAAAAACACTTGATTGTCAAGTGTACAAATCTTACTGCATGATTAATTTATGTTAATCATGCTTTAGTAACTGTTGTAATGGTAATTGGAAAAAAAATCAATCACTCACCATAATTAAGACCCATGAAAACGCCAAAACTGAGGCTCAGACCGCTCCAAGTTTGTAATTTTCTACTAGTCTTCTGTGTAATGTAAGCAAACCACCGTTTATTCCTCCTATGTTAGAGAGCTACACCAAAGGGAGGTAATTTGAAGCAAAAGTTTCAGGAAAATATGGATTTAAATCAGTTATCATATGTAAATGCTTTAGTTGCCTGCAGATTTTTTTCATGATTCTTCTAGAACAAATACTGTTTAATAAATATTTTATGTTGATAAGCTTTAATGTGGTTGTAGATTTCTTATAAAGTACTTCAAATTTGCTGTCTTTTAAAGCAAAATAAACCTCCAAAAACTAGTTATATTTATCAAAAGGTGAAGAGAATTTCAAAAATCAACAGTTGCTAAAATAGAGTATATTTATATAAATAAAATAATAATTTAAAAAAGATTTTTTTAATGACTAGTAATAAAAAAGTATTTGTTTAACCATAAATTCAAGTGTCATGATAAACTACAAAACACGCTATTGGAAAGGCGCGTGGTTTCCATAGCAACAATGCGAAAAATTATTTTTGCTTGCTTTTTTCTATCATACCCTTTGTTCTGAAAATTTATATATGAGTTTTAACCCAGATCTGTTTCTATGCCACTTTCCACATTTTTTAACTAAATGCTCGATGCTTGCTGATTTTGACTCTTAAATATTGCTTTATAACACAATTCGTTTATTCAATCATTCTTTCATTTTGTTAAAAAGAAAGGTTTATTATATTTTGTTCATTTTTCTATCTTGATAATATTTTTTGACATACGTAGCATTCAGAGTTGCATGACAAACCGACATTTATGGTGCATGTGTATATTACGTCATGAAACATTCTTCAATAAAATGGATGTCAGTTAGTACTCGAAAGAAAAAAACATGGTATTTTCAAAGGAAAAAAAATTAATTCAAACAAATTTCGTAAATGATAAGAAGAAAATCAGTTTATGACCCTTAATGTGCTTCCTGTATTTGAAATACAGTTTCACATCAACACATTCTTTAGAGATTTAGATACTTTGTATCTACACTCTAAATGATTGCTAAACTAAACATGGAGATCAGAAGCCATAAGCTGTAATGTTTATAAAGAACACTAGCTGAGGAGTGAGGTGTCGTCTGGTCTGATGTCTGTCCATGCGACGTTGGTTGACGTGAGGAAGAATGTTTTGTGGATAAACTTTGTGATGTGGAGTCTGAAGTTGGTCCGTGCGGTTGATGAGATGTTGCACCACTTGGACTGCATCCATATAATGCATCCAACATCGCTGTACCTGATGTATCGATCTTACATGAAGACCGGCGTGTTGAGTTATTTACTAAGAATGCCATGGTAACCGTTTCTCCCGGTTTACCTCTGACCCCAACCCGCATGTTGATTTCCGCATGAACAATGTTAGTAACCCTCTCAGGTGACATAGGCACCCATTTAGAAATTTCTCCAAATATAACGATATCTGTTCCATTCCTATAACAGGTTAACATTATATACTAATATGCAAGTGAAAATAATATTAATTCAGACTTTGAATGTTGAAGACTTTGAAATTAGAATTTTTTAATGAAAAGGTAATATATACTGAATAGCTGTTGTATAATGACAATATACGATTAAGTTACTTACAAACCCGTTTCTCTTGCACTAAATAAGTACAAACAGAAGTCCTCACGGGTACAATTGTCCAGAACTAATGGGTGATCGTCATCAAACGGTTGCCACATTTCTGGTAAGCCAAAAGGAAAAACCAAAGCTGACCTCAGCTGCAAATATATTATAGACAAAGAAAAAATATCAAACTCAGTTGATTTAAAGAAAATATAATAAAGATCGAAAGTGACGGTTAAAATTTGTCAGTATATATGTGACACTGCTGAGTTTAAACTCAGGAGTCTACTCACACTGTCAGGGAAACCAGTGTCTGAATTCCTGACGGTGTACGGGGATGACAAATTGGTTGCCATGAGGATACCAAAGTCACGTGGTCGGTCAGAGACAATAGTTGTATAGGAAGTCCACACTTCTCCAACAGGTCCGTCAGCTGAAGGTATGGCAGCCTATAAAAACCAGGTGTACAAGGAATATTTATCGAAGAAAAGTGCGAAAAGTGTCTTTATATTTGACTCTCTCAACCCAATAGTTAATATTTGCTGCATCATTGCCAAGTACACCAGTTTTTTTTCTTATTGTGATTACATGAAATAATTCACTGTTCTACTTTTATCATTATAAAATCGCATGGAACATTTCTTTCTAAATGACCTTCTTAATCAAATTGTTTCATATTTTTCCTTTCGATGCTTGTCGAAGAGAATGTTAAAGAAAATTTCTTCAAAGAAATAATTATATTTAATCTTTTTTCTAAGACCCGCTTGTTGTAATGAAATATCTTTTTAAATCATGTAATGTAGTTTTGTTAATCTGTACATGTGACAATACGTTTTGCTTTCATACCTTAATGATTTGTTTGTCGATGGCGGTGGCAGGACGTGACGGTTTAAGCAGACGACCGTTTCCATCGCAGCATCTCATAATAAGGTCAACATCGGAATTATTTATCTGGTCTCCTGGCCCTACAGGTCCTGCACTGAGTGTGGATACCAACGCCTCCAGTGCTGGGTAGGGCTCATTGATATCTGATGACGATATGAATGTATTTAAAAATGAAATTAAATGATAATTAGATAAGTAAGTACAATGTTGATCCAAAGTAAGTACAATATTGATACCTGCAATATTAAACAATTGCTAAAACACTGTGTTGATTGCAACATATTTTATGGCAGTCTCTTTGGACAACAGGCAAGTATAATCAGTATACTTTTATCAAAAAAAAATATTTATACCAATATCAAAACACAAAATTATAATAATGAAGCATGTGGAATAACCTATATAGTCAAAATATAAGAATATTTAAATACATGTAGACACTGTAAACCAACCTTCATGAGAAGATCATTTCAAGATTCTCCAATACCTTTTTATTGCCAAAAATAAAGATATGCTGAAAACTTGTTCTTGATTTGGTGAGAAGAAACATCTACTTTCGCCTCAAGTATCCACAATATTTGAAAGCCATGAAAAAAGTTACGTTACACAATTCTTTTTAAACCTACCTGGGTACCGGGGATTTCCAGTTTGTTGATGTGTAGACCAGAAAGTGTCTTTGTATGGTGCCAAACCTATGGCAGACGCCAACATTGAAGATATACCAATCCGCCATTGCTCCGGTTCTAAATGATAATCTTGACTCACCCTTGCCTGTAAAAAGGTAAGTAATAGAATGTGCTTGTGAAATAATTTATGCAATTGCAGAGTTTTTGAAATCCACCGGTCCCACCGGCAAAACCGGTAAATATTTCAAATGTCCGGTAATTTTCTTCATGTAACCGGTCCAAAGGACCGATAAAAAAAATTGGACCATTCCGGAGTTTTAACCTCTTAACCTGTGAATTTTAAGTTTATTTGTGAGATAGTCTAAAGGATTGGATCTGTGTGTATGATAGAATAAACTCAAGGGCTTTTACGACAGATAGTCATGATTTTTTTTTCTGTCGTATCTGTATTTGTTCAATCAGTTAATTCAATTTGTACAAAAATGTTAATTGTAGCTTTATTTGGGATACAACATATGTCAACCTAATCATTATTTACCTTTAATAAGTCTAATAAAGAGTTCATAACCATTATTGTTAAATTAAACATTATCCCCACAACATTTAGAACTTCGTTTTCTGCGGTAGGCAGCCATGTTGGGTATCCACTAAAAATATCACACCTGGTTAATTCAGTCCGGGGATATTTGACCCTATTGATTTTTAAGGCCTATACTGGAATTAAAACATTTTTTTTGTTTTTGAATATGTGTATGCTGATGGACCAGTGAATATTTGTGTGGACCGGTAAATTTCACTAAATCACTGGTCCACTTGACCAGTGAATATTTTTTTATTTCAAAAACTCTGGCAATTGTTATGATTTTCCATAAGTCAAACAAAACTAAAGAAATGAATTAAATAAGGAAAATGTTTTGTTGTATGACAGTATAATCAAATAAAATTGTTGATCCGAAAATCTTTATTTCAAAGAGAGGTGTTAAAACAAGAGGAAGACAACCAGAGTCAGTTATATAATGTCCTCCTGCAATAGTCTGTCTTTGAAATATATATCTTTCGTTTTCAGATAACCGTTGAAGAAGCTGCAATGTCGTATACATGATTTTTATTGAGCATAAAATGCTTAGGTGAGCATGAACCTCTTTTGGTACTATTCTATATGAAAAAGACGAAACAAAATGTCTTCCTTTGAAGAATGCATTATAAGTGTAGAAGTAAGAAATACTGATACACAAATTATGTTTTAAAAGGAATGTTTGAATAAAAGACCAAAAAAAGAAATTTTACGAAAAAGGGACCTTAATTGAACTACTGGATAGAAAAAAATCTAAATTCTTTTTGCATGTGCACAATATATAATCAAATCGTATATTGTCACATTAACAATTGACCGTCTACTGCTTTATTGCTAGAGGATTCTAATAATCAGGATAAGCAGGGTATCAAAGAAAAACAGTTCATTCACCCCAGAGGCTAAAAGAAAATTCGTTATTGGATATCTTAAGGACAAAAACTGTTTTATTCCAAAAGATGAATCTGCTAAGCATGGAATGTGGGATGAATTTTAGAAAGAGATGTAAAAAAACATTATCGACTTTCACTTGGTCCTAAAATTCTGAAGCCTCATTGCACATCTTTAAGACTAAAATACATTTCAAAACGTGTAATGACTACAACTTTTATGTTGAAACTTAAAATGTAAGAACAGACTGAGGAAGAAAAATTTAAGAGAAGCAGTATTTTACAGCTAACAGTAGACCATATGTTGAATATCTCACATCGTTAACTTCATGAAAGGTGAGAGGAAATTCAGGAAAATTCGAAAAAGTGAAAGACATATGGTCAGCCAGGGCGACATTATTTACAAATTTTGTCCAGTTCTGTTGACAAAGAAAGATAACTTGAAAACATGTAAGTGTTATACTTAACGAGCAAGACAGCATATTAATATAAACGATCAGATTGACCCAGGAATTATTGGACCACAATTTCTATTCTATGCGTGTATAAAAAAAATCACAGACAGATGTCCTATAACAAATGTAATGTCCATGCATGAAACATTTAAAGATGCATGTATTTTATCCCAAGGATTAAATACTTGTTTTTTTAAAAATGTGAACTTTGTAAGTTTTTTCTTGAGGATGTATGAATAAATGTATATATGTTTGATTTGTTCTATTTTGCTTGTTAAAGATTTTGACCTTTCTTCAGATAATTATTTTGGTTTTTTTTTCTTTTATCTATTTTAAATCGAACAAAGTATATATGCCACAGGCAATATTTACATGTGCATTGTCTTCCCAAATCAATTCAGCTATGAGACTATCCATTTTTTTGCATGGCATGATGTACTAGGTTAATTCTACTACATATAATTTAAAATTTGTTGATATCGTGGACAACTAAAATTTATCCTTCAAAACCGAAGAATCCACTTTTTCTGACGAGTTTATTACTCTGTAAGCCATCCTGTAAAAGTATTTCTATATACCTGCGTAATGGCGGGAAGAGTAACACTGGTCAGGGCGTGACGAGGGAGGGACATACAGAGCTGCATGGTGAGGTTCTGTTCCTGTGCCGCCCCTCCCATTCTTGTCATCCAGCGCTCCCCCAGATAGAGGTCAGTCTGAAGAGCGGCCAGACCCAGTGTTTGGATGTCTAGCCAGTCCTACAAAATCAAAATGAAGATTCGGTTATTTTGTTACCAAGTATAAAAAGTTGTACGAGTTGTATTAGAACAGTGACTTAAATGTTTGAATGGGATGAAGTATTAAAAACTATAATGAATATTTTTCCAGCAATTTTTGTATGTTTCAATAAATGCCGACTTCATCAAAAAAGTAAATGTATCGACAGCCTGACACCTATCGAAAGGTAAAATGGTATATTTTCCTAGCAACAGAGCTTTTTGAAATTATTTTTTGCGTGTTGGAATAACCCTCGTATTATTAATTGTACTTGTTCATAAACTGCTAAACCCCACTTCTTGGAAGTCCTGAACAAATTTGGCCAGAACATCTGTAAAACAAAAATAGAAATTAATATATAACTTCTGCTATTCTATTTACCAATATTTTCAACACATTTTTCTGTACATTTCGAGTATTTGTATTCTTAAATATTCTTATCTCCAAACTTTCAATGTATGCAAGTAATGATAAAAAATGTACAAGTGCCAGTAATGAGGAAAATCATACAAGTGTATTGAATCAAATAGCTACGATAGGCTGCAAAGAAACCTTACTTCATCATCAGGCAAAGATAAAACTGGCTCCACAATAAAAGTGAAACTTCCATTATTTTGCTTGGCATATGATGTATCATGTCCCCTAAAAATAATTGAATTATTTTCAATTTATGTACTTGGCCTGTATGGTTTACTTGATGTATAGGTAATCCATTATTGAATTCGTGACATTCACATGGAAAACCTATCGACTTTCTCGTATTTTCAAAACCCTTCCAAGACTTTTTTATGGAAAAGAACATTTAAAATATGTTAGATTTTTTAAACCTACAAAAGTGAAGCCTACTGCTTAAATGTCTTCCTAAGAATTTTGAGAATTTTTTTTATTTGTAACCAATTCTGAATCGAAAAAACTCTGGATAATCATGGACAAAAATTTTAATCGGAAGAGAACCGCGTGAATTGCCAAGTTGCATAAAGTTTGATCTGTAGATGCCCAGGAGAAAGAAAAAAAATTTAAATTAATTTTGATCAACTTTGTCCGATCAGGGATTCTGTTTCCAATGAACACGGATGTACATAGAGATGAAAAAGGCTAAAAGTTCATTACCATTATATATGTACAAGAAAACAATTTTCGTTCAAAAATCATGTATTATGATGATTTTCAAACATTGTGCCGTTTAGATGTACATTAAAGAAGTTTTTCCAGTGAGTTTCATAAAATTAATCTGAATTAAAAACTGATGGAGTCTTTTTATTTTGGAAAATTATGCCAAAAATACCAACCAATATCTGTTGTGAGCAACTATCAATTAACTGTGAAATTTTACTACATACAAATATGAATAAGAGAAACATATTTTCCAATTATCATTTTGAAGACCTGTTTTCCTATGAAGAAACCTTAAAAGGAGAATGAAATGCATCAGTATTGCAATTAACAAAAAACTTTGAAAACGACAAATGATCATTACATGTAATTATCATTGGTATATCTACCCGATCCCATTAGGAAAAACATCTGGTCTGGCTTCCCACGTCTTTACTGAATCCTGAAAACCTTTATAATACCACCAAGAATCAATCTGTATATACCTAAAACAATTGTACAATGGATACTGGAAATACAATACAAAAAAAAAAAAAATTTGAACAAAGCCAAAAAAATTGCCCCTGAAAATAAAAGATAATTTGAATACATTGAAGGTTGACAGAGTTTAACAACTATAAACTTTACAAAGCGCTGACTTCAAAGGGGATTATGGGGAACCTTTCGAACGCGTTTGTGAGTAGAATCTCATTTGGAAAATTGTTTGTACTCAGAACGTGGTTTTCCTTCCAAATTGGATGAGAAACGTGCATACCATATCCAATTAACTGTGAAATTTTACTTCATACAAATATGAATAAGAGAAACATATTTTCCAATTATCATTTTGATTTAATACTTCAAGTGTCAATTTCTCATGAATGTAGACACACTAATGAAAAAAAAGATGGAGTAAACTTCGATGACTTTTATTTCAAGTTTATTGTGATATATCTAGTCGACATATGAATAAAAGAAGTATTGTTAATTGATAAAAGTTCTTAAAAAAATAAATATCGAATTAATGACCTCATCATCTCATGTTTCTTTGTAGTAAATTTTTTTGGGAAATATTGATTCCAAATGTTGTAAATGTTGTTAAGATATTTTTCGATAAGAATGCACATTTGATAAAAGTATTTTTTTTCAATATGTAAGATGTACTTTATAATCAAAGTGATTAAATATATTTTAGACATAACCTACCCATAAGGTAATCTGACAGACTCGCTATACTTTTGAACGTCAATAAGCGTATCTTGGTAGGTCTTACTATTATTGTTTGTGGTAGTCTCTGTATGGTAATAGTAATAGGCACCTGAAATCCACAAAAACATATCTACATGTATACACCTCCTTTCATCACATTGTCTTTAGTAGGGTTTAAGGAGGTTTTATTTTAAAATTTAATTTATTTAAAATCTTTACAAGAATAAAACCCTTGAACTTTGACACTATTTAAAGAAAGGGAGGCATTGAAGAAGACAAGTAAATCAAAAACACCGTTTAATTTACAGTCGATGAGAGCTTATATTATAATGTATTCACTACTGTATTATTCACTAAGAGATAAATTCCACAAAGGTAATTAATAGTATATATGTAAGATTTCTATATCCACCATGTCTTAGCAGCCTAAAATCCTTTCATAGGGAGAATAACTAGCTTTGCAGAATTTCTTTACCATTATCTGTCCAATAGCCAAGGTAATTTAGAGATACATCTTGTGCCCATCCCCCCCACCCCTTTAAACCAAATGGCAACCCCTGACACAGGGGCCATAAAATTCAAAATTTTGGAAGAGACATCATAACTACACATCTTGTCTGTAACTGTTGTCTTTTTGCTTTTGTCTTGTAGAGAGTTTCAAGAAAATGCCCATATTCCTGAAATGCCTGAAAAACGAGATATGGGGGATATAAAAAATGATGACTTTGTGAGGATTTGTAACGGCAAATAGTAATAAACAATCAAATGGGTGAACTACTAGTATGTTTATAAAAAAATATTTTTAAAAATGTAAATTAATAAAATCACATTTCGTCAGTATTCACCACCTTATATTAATTTAACAATTGCCTTTTTCGATATATTATTACATTATATCATAAAAATACTCACTTTGTTAATTCCAGAAGCAGCTACAGCGACAGTTTTCACGATGTACCCTTTGGGGATGGAATCTACGCCTCCCATCACTCCCCAGTTAACCGATCCTCCCGGTGACTGGTCGTGCCACATCGAAGTCGCCATAAAGTTGTTGAATGGGGATATGAGTATGGTATTTCCACTAGCATCGAATACAGCCAGAGGACCACCCTTTATACCATCTGTCATCTTAGGGGTTTTTGCATTGAAACTAAACACAAAGCTTTGTTTTACCTTTCAACTTGCAGTACGTTTATTTTGTTGATACGATTGTTCTAGGAATTTCTATAAAAATAAGTCTATGCAAACTTTCATTAGGGCGTAATATTCTTCATCTTTAGATTACACAAATTCAGAATCATGGACCAAGAAAAACAACAACAAAAAACGTACATGCCCAGTTGTTTGTCATAGTCCCCGACCATTTTACCCCCCAAGTTCAGGTAACCAAGTGTCCTTGATGAAGACTGAACTTGAAAACTTGGAAATCCCGCAGACGTTTGGTTAAAGCATCTCAGGAAAGTGTGAGTTGGCGGATAGCTAACAGCTGGACAATCGACAGAGCGGGTGCCGTTTATTCCATCCACATAAAGCTGAAAAATCCAATCTTATAAAAGGATTTAAAAAGCTCATAAAAGTATATTTAAAACCATACGTGTTCTCTCATGACCGAAACAAATTTTGATTATATGCATACATTTCTAAGGATTAATATTATAAATCTGAGAAGAATGCGAATCTGCAATGAATTAGTAGTGTACGATAGTTACATTTATGAAAAATTATAGTACCTTTTCATCATATAGATTCATGTTATTTAGAATTGGTATTGTCGAAGTTTACATACCAATTCAAATGTAACGAAAGGTTTGGGTGAAAAATCTTTGATCCATGCTTCAACTATGTTACTAGGAGGAACAATATATTCTAACTTGGTGAAAGTGTAGTTCCCCAGGAGTCCATCTGTACCTGAACCTTTCTGTGTCGCATTAAGCGTGAGATTTGCTCTTTCGTACGTGTTGCCATTAGAGATGAGGAAGAACCTCTGACTTGTAAGAAAGGTGACATTGTTGATTGAGAGACTGTAACGACCATCAGAGGTAGCTGTAACCTTTAAGACTGCGTCTCCTATGTTAAAGCAATTTTGATAATTTTCACATATTTAAGAAAAAAAGTTGCAATCGATCTATATGTAATACAATGTATTCCGTTTCCCATAAAATGTAATATATATATAATATATATAATCTCACCATAAATAAATGGTGAGATTATAAATATTCGTCCCGTTGAAAACTTTTAATGATTTAGACAAGGGTCAATAAATACTTCTTTTTCCATCGACAACTTTACTTATTTTTTCATTGATATTCCGTTATCACCTGCATATAACGTTTACGTCTCCCGACTCATTCAATAATCATGAAAATTCTCTGGTGACGAGCAACCGTTAAACCAAGCCATGTTACTGACAGATAAGTTGATGTTCCAGGAATTTCAACATCCTTGTTTAAAGTCGACATTTCGTATTTTCTACTGTCTTTATAATGGACTTCTTTGTAAACACCAAATATAAATTAAATGTAACATAACATTGGGACGTACGTGTATCTTTGCTCAAAATAATTTCTTATAAATTCGACAATGGAATATCGTTCTATCAATACATAAGGCTCATTTCGAGTGAGACGTGTCAACTTGGGATGTTTAAACCTCCTATGCACCTGATCCCATCTCTGGTTACCAGGGACCGTGTTATACCCTATTTATAGATTTGTGTTCTTTGTAAATATTGATGACATTGATCACTGTTCCTTAACTTCATCTATTTCATTAGAAAATATGCAAGCAGACTTAATTTCCTGCATTTTAAGTTTTTCTTTTGGTGAAACTCGATTTGCATTTTGAAAATTGCACAAAATTGGTTAAAAAGGATTTCTAGATTGGTTTTGCTTTTAATAAAGTTGTAAAGCTATTAGTTTAAGTTAAGTGTAATATAGATCGAGAACATCTTTTGTATTGTTCGATATATAGCTAATTATTACACACTTAATCTAACCTACCTGAGGTTTGTTTTTCAGGCTTTGCAATTCTCAAGCAAAACAGACACAACAGAAGCCCGACAATAAAGCGGAAGGCGGCCATATCTAATGGTCTCAAAATATCTAATCAGTTAAACTGCGATTATCACACGGGAAAAGACTGTGGGTATCACTAATTAAACATACCTGTACGAATAAATCATTGATTACAAGAGCAAATCACACAATTTTATTAGATTCTTTATTTTTGACAGTTTGTCATGTATAATGCACACTTGCAAGAAGTTGCATGCAGTCAGTCAATTCTCGTTCTCTAATATATTAAATTATGATTAAAAAGTCCACATACACACACGCAAACAAAACCAAGGCCGTTTTACAGATAGCGTCGTTGATATGGTCTCTCAAGCAAATAAGTCAAGCATCACTTCAAATTATTTCATCAAGTAATGAGGTTAGATTGTCTAACGCATATTTTCCTTTTGGCTTAATGTTCGAAGCGATGTCATGGATTTGTAATACATGGAAATGACCTCACTTTCATCCTCGTGTTCGAACCGAAGTCGGCATCTCTGTGATACAGGGCGTGCCTCGCGCTCACATGCATTGGTGACATTTGTGAGCACAAACTCCTGGTATGGACGTGTGCTGTTCCTCACATTTGTTGCAACAGTTGGAGTCAACAGCCGTTTATTTATGTCACGCAATTCTTTGCGTGAAACTGGTCTAGAAATTGTGTTCAGTTCGCAATCTGCACATAGGTCTTTCAACTGACGACGGTGCTCACGAGGGCATATTTCACGTTTCAGCTTACAGCTAGTGGTTGGTCTGGAAACCCTATCCACAATGGCGTCTGCTTGCTCCCTAGTAACGATTCTGAATGCTGGAGCACGTGGGATTTCAATGTCGTACTTAGCATTGTATTCCAAATATCTGCAGAGGAATCTCTTCGCGGCGCGATTTTGGTCTTCACGCGCCCTGGCAACTGGATCCAGAACATGTTTAAATCCAGGTTTCCGGAAACGTATTTCAGTTGGTAATCCACTGTATAAGTGTCGAATATTACTGTCCAGAATTCTTTGGTGTGTCGTACTAAATGCCATAATGCAAGCAATACTTTACATGTTAACCGGTGAAAAATAATGTACTAGTTAAGTAGCTGTTGCCTGCACATGGAATGGTCACTTTGTGTTGTTAAGTTTATTGAATTGTTTAATTAATCAAAATGTTATCAAGCTGTACATAGAAATTCTTTGATAAATATTCTTAACCTAGCAGTGGACTGATACAATTGTTTTCATTCGATATCGTCGCCTTTTTCGTTTGCGATAAGGTTAATCTGAAAAGAAACTCCAACAGCGGTTAAAAATGCTGACGACAAAAATCGTCGCATGGAGTTATTATCTTACCATTTGGATGCAATATTCTATTTCACACTTTATCAATAAGAGAAAAGCAAATAATAAAATTACTTTCTTTTAATCTTTAATTTTCATTCATGCATTTTCATATTTGAGTAAAACACGTTTCATTAACATTTTAAAATATTAAAAAAAACATGGCGATAGGTTAGGTAAGACCAGTAAATTGTGATATGCTTTATTGTCTTTTATGGTTCTGTTGATTTCGCTCAGAAGAACATTATGCGCACCTAAAAGAGATATTTATGTTTCAATGGAACCTTTCTTTATTCTTTCTTAGTCGCAGAAATAGATAAGCTGGTACGATAGAATAAATTATTTTTTTTCTCTATGAATTCAAAAACAGGATTTCTGTTTCAAATACTAGTAGTTAACAAACTATGGATGATTTATTTGGAGGACATATTTTAAAATTATTTCGATCGTCCAACGAATCCATTGATAATATAATTTTCTTCCCTTAATTCCATTGGTTAAATAGTTCAGTCAATAAAATGACTAAACCCATAATTGGACCCAAAAGTTATTTCAAAGTGATTAGAGAGATATTTCTTTTTTCAGAATATTGGGTAATTGCATACGTTTCGAAATTAAAGTCATGTTGAAACCATTAGCTTCTTCTCCGATGTAACTGCTGGCCTTGTTTAAATGTTGTTGCAGCTCCTTGTTTTATGCATTTCTAGTAAATCAATGGTTCTATCCTTTCTCCACCTTGGCACTTAAAATTGATTTGTATTAGCACCACTGAAAATTTAGACGTTGCTGGATAAGTTTGCAGTGTAACAATTATGTTCGCGAAGATTTCGTCTTCGGAGATTATCTGACTGTTGTTGACAACAGAAATACTGGTATGTATGTTTACGAATACATAAAATTAACTTATTCTATCAGATTTCTGGAAGAAATGTTAGTGGCATTATATACAGAGTAAATGTATTTGTTAGATCGGGAAATACTGATGGATGAAAAACCTTTGCAAAGAAGGAAAAGTTCTGGTAGAATTCCTTCTTTGCATTTTAACGTTTCCAATTCCAAGTTTATAAAGGACATTAGTAATATAGATGCTGCAAAGTAATTTCAAACTTTAATGTTCCATTTTAATTTCCGGTAAGCTCGACAATTTTAAAACTTAAATATTGCCATAGACAAAAGACAACAATGTAGATAATTTATTCGAGATTTTTTTTTAAATTATCTACATTGTTGTCATTTTAGAAAGTCCATACACTTGTTGAACAGTGAAAAAAAAATGAATTTAAAAATACTCAGTCGTTACCCACTGAGGGAACCAGTGAAAATAATTACATTAATCAACTTAAAAAAAGTCTCGTCCAAGGCCTAAATAATGAAAAAAAAATATCCCATCCTCATTTTATGTGAAAAATTCAAAAAATTATAAAATAAACTTTATTAATTTCAGCTATCTATTGGTATAAATTGGTGTCTTGTTCTTATAGGCTACAAAATCTATTCAGTTAAAGAAGTGTTGGAGTTTTTTTTTCATTTCAGAACAATGTGTTTGGGACTTTTCAATGTAAGTCTTGATTAACAGCAACCTGAAAATGTACTAAAACCAAGATATAAATGAAGACTATAAGCCTCATGATTTCATTTCAAAGTTGTGGGAATGTGAGATCACTCTGAGTAATACGAAACTTGAAAATTTAATTTAATTTATGAAATTTATTCATATGTGAAAGAAATTTAAAAAAATCTTACTACAACTGCTTGAGAAAAAGCGTATTGTAATATAAGACTTTTCAGAGAAAATATCAAACATTATGTTCAGCCTGATAATGATTTGAAAATGATTTGTTTTCTATATTGATCTTTTTTTTTTCAATGAAACTACGCGAATTATTTTCTTTGGCATAGCATGTCCCTTCTACATTTAAAACGATGTACTGAAAACAGATTTTAATTTTCATAGAAAGCACGTATCTTCAAATTACAAAGTCAGTCAATCGTTATGTTTTTTTTTCAATTGATTCTAAAATTCTTTTAGATTTCATCATGTAATAGCATGTATCTTCTAAATCTAAATTGAAATCTTGTCAGAAGACTTGAGTTTTATAGAAAACATCCATCATGACAAGAGTCAGTCAAATGATATTGCGATCTATCATTTGATCAAACTTTTTTTTATTTTTCAATGAAACATGGCAAGTTTTATATAGTGTTTCTTATAATAGCATGTATTTTTATAAATCTAAAATGGTGTATTAATTTCTATTCATCTTGAAAAAAGTAAAGAAGAAGAAGACAGTTTAACACTCTAGAACAGATCAATTTTGTTAATAAAAGGAAAAACCTGTGATTTGAGAGTTTATTTCATGGTAATAAATTACCATTATAACAAAATAAAAACAAAATACTTGTACCATTTCATTTTAAGAAAACCAGTATATCAACATACAGTCTCGTTTAAAATCAAAATTTCGCAAATTTTATGGTCGATATGTACAATGACTTTTTCAGCAAATGCAATTTAAATTATCAATAAATCGAATGCTGACTAACATTCTCTTACCAATTAGTAAGCTATTATTTTCACACTGAATTGTGTCCGAATTTTTCACTTTGCCCGATCATGACAACGAACATAAGGCAGGTTTGACCGCTCAACGGAGGATGCTTACTCCTCCATTGTACCTGATCCCACCTCTGATATTTTTAAAAGATTCATGTTTGTTCTGCTCCCGATTTGTATCGTTTCTTTGAACTTTTGAGCTCTATAACTGTTCATTATCTCCCTGTTTGAGTATTGAGGTATATCCTGTGAAAATTGACGTTCTTGAATATCATAGTCCTCTTATTGACTGCAAACGATATTATTAGCATAAAATTCTACTTCATATAAATTATTGGCAAATAAACTGGTTTAGAATAATAATTTAAGTAATTATATTTCATCAATATTTACCAGGTCTAAAGATTTCTTCCATAGGTCCCTAATGACTTTGAAGACAAGACAAGACAAGACAAGACTTTATTCTCATAAACTGTACAAAACAGTATAGAGAGGATATAACACAAAATATTTACAATTAATTAATTAAGCATGCGTGAGACAAAGAAAAAAAAATGACAATGTCACAGACCAAGAGAGCCGACTCTCTCCATTATAGTTCCAATAAATTTACATAACTTAATTAATTTTTCCCTGCTGTTCAAATTAAATAGTTGGTCATACTTAAAAACATTAGGATTTGTGTAATAATACTTGGGTAATAGATTTAATCTAGAATTCTTAATGTATGGGTCAGTGCATTTAAATAAATAATGAAATTCATCTCCTATTTCCTTGCATAAACACAAGTGACAAATTTTGAAGAACTTGTAAGCTTCGTAAGTATTACAATTGATTAATTAAGCACCGTTTTATAATTACCTAAATTCAGAACTACACAACATGTATGGTAATTATGTATTCGACTCTTGGTTTGAACATACTAGTACTAGTATTTTATTGCACTAGATATATACAATGGGATTGAGCACAAGTTCTAAAAACTTAAACTACTTAGACTCTTAATATATAAAATACAGCTTTTTAAAATTCTGTATTGCAAACTATTCTCTACCGATACTTATATTGAAAACTTTCTTTAAAATTAGAATTTTTATGAAGGATATTTAAAAAATATTAACAATCGATTGTTCTAACTAAATACTTATATTCTGAAATATTCACGGATATATATGCTTGGATTTTTTCGCATTCATAAACTGTAAATGTACTAGAAATAATATACAGCATTTCATTATATTTCATCTTTAGCTTATAAATAGCCAACTATAGACTTTATAAAAAAACTTATATATATATATATATATATATATATATATATATATATATATATATATATATATATATATATATATATATATATATATATATATATATATATATATTATTGTTTTGGGGAATAATGCCTTCATTTTTTTCATTCAGCCAAATTGTTGATTTATTTTTAAAGTTCTCTAGTGATTCTATTGCTTTTGTTTGTCAAAATAAAATGATAATTGAAAAACAAATTTGTATTAAGCTTCCATACAAATATGTATCAATTCTAGATGACATTGAAAAAAATGATTTCTTATCCGTATCTTATATGTGATTCTTGATTGCAAATGTGTATCTTTTCAATACAAAGTAAGACTTTATATTGAGTTCCCTTGCATCAAGTATTTTGAGGGAAATATATATAGATCTAATTAATAATTAATTGTTTTCTTTAAGAGATGCTGGTACAATAGCAGGATAGAATATTACCCCAGTCATCGATTCAGTCGTGTTTCTTATTTTTTTTCTAAGCAGGATCTTGACAAATAGAAAATTTACGTTGATTGACAAAGCAAAGGATAATAATGAATCTTAATCATAGATATGGTGTTAAGTTAGACAAGAGAAAATGATAAATTTGTATCGATGAATACTTAAAGAAAGAAAAAAAATAAGATATTTACGAATTTCTTATATCACGAGATGTAGTAAAATAGAACTCCAGTCTAAAGCTGAACAGAGCTTAAGTTGATCTTGATTTTCATAGCTTTTTATTGTTAGATGATGGAACTCACCGTCCCAAAGATTTTAATCTGCCTCTGTCTCGGTAAGTGCTCCATCGATTGTTTTATCGTATGAATTCTGAAATTTGAGTTAACCGGAAAACATGATATCAAAATCAGTCTAATGTATTAAATCTATTTCAATTCCGTAACTATTTGCATTAATGCAACAAATAGCAACGACTCAGTTCCAATTTAATTCAATCATTTCAGAGCGATAAGTATCTGAAGTTAATCAAGAATCTCGAATTTCATTTTTGCTTTTTGATGTAATATGTTTTATTATTATTCAGGTATTTACAAAGGTGTGAAAGCTTTTACAACTGCTTCAAACAGTATTTTTACTGAAAGGGGTAAGAGATTATCATGTGAAAATCTGATTCACGAATGAGCATTTTATTGATTTATTAAAGACCAGAGAAACCTAATATAGTGTTTTATCTTTTCAAAAAAAAACTTAATTTTAAAAGTGCAGATTAGACATGCACTGAATTTAAATTTAAATTCTGTTCTTAAAAAAAAAAATCTAATGATCATAAAAATGTGCACATAAGTTTCAGCTTTTCTGGCCCAGTGGTTCTTGAGAAGAAAATTTTCAAAGATTTTTCCTATATATTTCTATGTAAAACTTTGATTACAAATTGTGGCCCTGCCCTTCCCCCGGGGGTCATGATTTTTACAATTTAGAATCTACACTACCCCAGAATGCTTCCACATAAGTTTCACCTTTTCTTGGTTCTTGAAAGAAGATTTTCAAATATATTTGCTATATATTCTAAGTAAAAGTTTTATTGCCCATTGTGGCCCCGCCCTTCCCCCGGGGGTCATGATTTGAACAATTTAGAATCTAATGCTTTAAGTTTCAGTGACCCAGTGGTGAGAAGCAGACTTTTCTTGATTATCTCCCCTTGTGAGGGGACTTGGCCCTTTATTTTAACAATTTACATGCTTTTACCAAGTTTGGTCAAAATTGGCCCAGTGGTTCTTGAGAAGAAATCAGAAAAGCTCACTTGAGCCTTCGGCTCAGGTGAAAAAAAAAAATCAATGATCAAAAGTGCACTTCTTTTTGTATTATTTTCTTCAAATTATTATAGTTTTTACATTTTTAAAGCTTTCTTCGGCAAAGAAGCAATTACAGATTACACAATTAACCTCTCAAACAGTACGTGGTTGGAAGCGGAGGGTACATGCTTTTCGTGGAATCAAACTCTGATGGGCCGGGGCCTGGAAGACTATTACTCTTACATAAGGATCCTAGCTCATCGACAAACTACATGGTAATCCATCGACTCAACACTATTTTACTTCCAGAAAAACTCTCGACCAATAGATGTTGAAATTTAGTCAAACCAAACATTATACCAACCCTTCTGATAAAGGATAGAACTGAATATTTCTGTCATCAAAGAACAACTATGTACAAACTCAGAAGGCTTAACGTTCACTAAAAAATTCAATCAATAAGCATTTTGTCTTTCTGTAGCATTTTGTCTCCATATAAATACTAGTACATAGATCGCGAATCGGCTTGGATATAATTAAAATCATATTTTATGTATTTAACACAGCCTTGCTATAAGTCATTTATAGAAAGCTGTTACACTGAATAATTATTTCAGAGCATGTTGCAGTGTGTACTTGTTTCGTATACAGGGCATCATTATTTTCTCTTTCCATTAGGGACGTTACTCAATTTCAGAAACATCCACTTCAAATTCGTATTTTACTCTTTTTTCCCTCAATCCCCCTGTAACAAGACATACATGTAGTACACTTCTAAATCTTACTTCCTCTCTAATAAATGAATCCGGACATCCTGAGTCATGTCTTTTTATTGTAAACCGCTCATTTATTTCTCGAAATTTACTTCACGACTTTCAAGCCTTTACAGAGGATGCATCAACTTCAGCTACCTTCTATATGAAACAGGGGCTTGTGGTATGTTGAGTATTTGAAAATGGGTGCTTAAGTTACGCTTATAATTTTCATTTCTTTTTTGCTTTACAGGCCTAATAACACCCATGTTTGGTTAAACAGGGTAAGAAAGGCCAACTCCACCCTATGGTTAAATGACATGGAGTGTGGGACCAATGGGTCTATACCTTGGCCAGTACATGGGGATAACATCAGTACCACCCAGTGCCTTGCACTTAACATGACATCTTCCACAGATCTGGAATATATTTTGTTTGCTGCTCCTTGTGACAAGAAAATGGGTTTTGTCTGTGAATCGTTCCAGGGATTTTACTTTGGTAAACGGTTTTAATCCTAATGTATTTTGTTTCCTTTCAAATATCAAGTAAAAGAGACATAAAGAGGAACTTTATTAAATGTATGTATGTTTCCATGTAAATGTATAAGGGAAATCAATATTAATTTTAGTAAACTTTTACCAGTATTGTGATCGAATCTGGTAGGTGCTTTTTCACTGCACCTCGAGTAAAATCTGCATACAGTTTTTAAATCTCGTTGTAAAAGTATCGCTTAACTACACAAGGATTATATGCTATCGAGTTTTACAGGTTCCTTAGGATATAACATCTTTCATGCGTTTTACGTTATTGAACCTTTAAACCAACCACGGTTGTACCCAGACTTCACACATGACGATTGTTTACACTTCTTGTTCAGCAATTTCACATGTTATGCTGCGGAGTATGATGAGGAAATCCTGAAATGCACATTATTCTGTGCATCTTTGTTGTCACCTCCAGAGAACATTCAGCTGAATACCACGCAAGCAAATATTTCAACGGCTGTAAAATCCTCGTCACGTCGTAAGATACAGTTCTTTTATTGATAATTCTGAAGTCACGCTGTTTTACAAGATAAGCCTGTTGGTTTGTTATTTTTTATTCAACATAAAGTTGTGTTTTAAAATTGTGCCTTGCTCTTCTTTTTTCTAGTAACAATATCAAATTCTACAAATTTTTTGATGGGAAAATATCCGTCTTGTGAGTCTATTACAACAAGTACAGTCACTTCCCTGGGCGTGACTAGCATAAGTCAATCAAACACAGACTCCTCCTCCACAGAAATATCTGGGGAAACTGTAGTGACTGAAACTGTGGTAAGGACTTCTACATTTTCAACTTTTGTGGAGACTACTAGCGAACTGGATACGTTCTCTACAGAAAGAGTCTCCAGCAGGTCGACTGAATCAAGCTTACTTCATTCAGAAACTTCCACTTCATCGGCGTCAGATGGACTGGGAGATTCTAGCTCGGTATCGACTTTGGAGTATGATACTATACAAGCAAATACAATCACGCCTACATTGGAGTATAGTACAACTCAAGCAGACACAACCACATCTACATTTGAGTATAGAACTACACAAGCAGACACAACCCCGCCTACATTGGAGTATAGTACTACACAAGCAGATACAACCCCGCCTACATTGGCGTTTAGAACTACACAAGCAGATACAACCACCACATCCACCTTGGGATATCCTACTAGTGCAACAGAAACAACAACCCCTACTTTAGCACCAACTACACATTCTACGCCTAAGGAGGTATTTTCTACATATGAAAGTACAACTGGTACGAATACTTTAGAACATTCAACCAGAATGTCCTCTTGGACTGATACTAGATCTTCAACTGCTACCACGGAAGGGACTGTTTCATCTGTCAGTCCTCAACTTGTGACGTCTCCATTTACGTCAACGTCAATTACCTGCAGTCCATGTGTGTGCAATAATGACACTACAGCCAATAAAACACAGGAACAAATCCAAGAAGAGATTGCTCAAATCAAGAAAAATCTTACTTTAGAAAAGTCGACACTCTCTTCTTATACTCGGCAGAAAATTTCTGCTCCTGATAAACGCTGGTCGTCTGCTGCCCTTGGTTCAGTGGGAATTGTAATTTTAGTTTTTGCAGGCTCTGTTGTGGTACTAAGTGATACTCAGCACTTCTTAAGGGCAATAAGGGTGTGGAGGAAAAGACTTTCAAAATATAGGTACTTGTGAATTTTTTGCCTTCCATTGACATTAGATATTAGAAGTATCGGTACATGCACTTTAAAGATAAAGCTGAAAATCAGATTTTTTTTGTTCTTTCATTCTAGATTTTCAAAGAATCCAAAACCTTGATGTCTTCTGTTGGATTTTCAATGCCTTTTGATGTTGAGCGGAAATAAATTTTTTGGTACGCGTTAGGAGATCTATTCAAGTAAATAAATCAGTTACTGAAGTTTACCCAAGAGTTACTACAAACTGAACAGCATATTTATGTTCTACAACAATTTAACTGTTTAATTTAAAATGTATAACATCTTATTCTGTCTTACGTTTCATTTGTTTGTTTCTTTCTAGTTGTTTTAATATTTTTTACCTTCATATCTATTTTAATCATATTCAAAAGACATATTCCTGAAATACGTGTTCAAAATGTCACATAGGTAAAGATGTACATTACATACCTAGTGACTGAAAATGTTGTAACGACTTCTACATTTACAACTCTTTTGGAAACTACTTGCGAAATGAATAGGTTCACTAGGAGTCTCATGACTGTGTAGACGAACGTATTCTTAATATTTTTTGTATAATATTCCGTAGCATCAAAAAGTACTTGTGTGCTTTTTCCATGACAGGAAAGAGAGATACATGTACCAATGAAACTTGCAACAGTTGCAAAGTACAGTGCAGCAAAAGAACATAAGTTTACATAAACTCCAATGAAATGTATTTTGTAAAACAATGGTAATATAGGATATCCCAGCATGAACAATCAATTTCATAACATGCCTATTACAATGACAATAAAGCAGACAGGTGTAATGAATGCGAAGGGAAATATTTATCCCTTTGCTGATATCGAAGATAGAAAACCTAATATGTAGAACCTTATTTATGACTTGCATTCAGCTTTGGACTTTAATTTCAACAAAGGAACGAATGCAGTAAATATTGGTCATTTTCTTACTAAGAGGGGCAAATATTTTGTAATGATATCCCAAAATTATGTTCACATACGTACAAGATTAGATAACTCAAAATAAGAAATTGAATGATTTGTATTTTAATGTTTATTTACTAAACATCTTTTGAGATGAAACCTTGTTTTACAAACATAAATGTAAGATGACATTGCATTAAAAGATGCAATGGATATAACATTTAAAACAATCAAAACAAACTCTTTAACATAAATATATGAGATCTATTACTAAAATTGATAAATATCAAGAATTTACTTTCGGTCCTCAAATATACATTCTTCTATTACCGTTATATCATATACTCTGTAATATATAGTGGCAACTTAGGCTCAATATTTGTTTGGACCAACTTGTAATATTAGCCCTGGTATGCCAAAAAAAAAAAATTTAAACACTAGAATAATAAATACTAGATTAAAATGGCTAAATAAAAATTGCATTTCTCTCTTATCACGCTTATTGTACTCAAACAATATTTGGATCTTTTGTATACTACAGTATATATATTTCAATGCCCAATACATGTAATTTGCCAAGTTATTTTTTTTTAATCTACAAATCATCAAAATATTTCAATAAAATACAGAAGACATATTAATTATGTTGTCAAAAAGATGAGTTTGTCTTATTTTTACGAGCCATTGCATTGGGCGACATTACTCCATGAGCTTTCATCATGTGACGCACGCGACTGTCTGAGCGGGAAAAGACTTTCTCGCAAACTTCACATGAATACATTGTCTGGATAGTCTTTCCACAACTATTTCTTTCATGTCTTACTTTTGTACATTTAAATGAGAATTGTTTTCCACAGAATCTACAGCTGTGCTCTCTAGAGAAACTGGGAGAAAACTGATAAGAATTTGAATGTTGGATATTGTTTGGCAAGAATGTACATGTTGGTTCCGAAAATTTGTCCATCCTAAGACTTGTATTGTTGGGCTGTGCACAATGAATATCAAACTGAGTAGATTCTACGGTTTCTTTTTTTATTGAGAAGGATTCTTTTAAAAAGCCACTGGAACTATTTTCTATAGCATTCCACTCCTGGCTGTCACGTTTGCTGTTCATTTCCGAGGTATTTATATTTTCTGGTTGAAACAAAACTGATGTCCTTTTTGAAAGACTTTCTGTAACAGGACTTTTATTTTCATTTGTCTGAGGAAGAAAATGTGAAGGATTTGACTTTCTAACTTGTTTACTGTTGCATTTCTCATTTTTGTTGGCTACAGAAATTGTTTCTTCAGAATCTTTCCTGCTGAAATGCCCATCTTCTAAATACTCTGAACAATTGTCACCCTCAAGTTCAGTTGAGTTTTCTAGACTAATTATTGCAACATCACCATTCATCATTTCAGAAACGTTTGATGTGATATCTTTGATTTGATTTGGAGATTTAGTTTTATTATATGCACAAGGATCATGAACAATGCTTTGTTTAATGTTCATGTCAAGGCTCAGTGGATCACCCAACCTGGATTTCATGTCACAAAGTTGGAATTTATCCTGCATTTCTTGATCTGGAACTGTTGGTTGTAATCTTTCATGGATTTTGACAACATGGTGAGTTGAGGAATTTTTGGGAGATATACATATAATTCCATCTACTTCAATGTCATTACACCATGAAGATACATTTTGCCGGCAAAATTCCACAATAGTTTGTTGTAGCAACTCGCACACCTCACGATGATCCATTAATATTTTCTTTTCTGTAAATAAAATCGCATTTGTTCATCACGAAATAAGCATCAAGTAGAAATGACCTATTTCAATGGGTTTTTTTTTAAATTAATATTTTGCTTAATTTACATAACCTTGTATCTTCAAAACAAATTTGTCTCTATATCAGAGACTTTTTTAATGTTATAAACAAGCTAAGCTTACTACAGTTTAATATTTTGTAAAGTATCAATGTAAATGTATGGCTAACAACTGAACATATTCCTGTATACTGTGCTTTTGTGCCAATATATAGAATACTAATATTTTAACATTGTTAACAAATTTTGAATGAATACCCATGGCACATGATTTACAACAAATATATGTGTGTCATAAATCTTCTCGTCAACAATTATTTTCTTAGATAATAATAACCAGATAACAAAGCTGTAATAATACTAATAAATTGATAAACAACAAAAGGTAGTATTATGGTATACAGGTATACGCAACTGTTAGTACGTAGATTTCTTTTTCTCAATGTAATAAGAGTCCAAAGAAACAAAACAACAAAAAGACATTCATATAGATCTAACAATTATAAAATAAACTAGGAAGGAAAAGAACTTACGTGATTACTAGATCATTAGATGTAGTATTTCTCTTACTGAAGTTACTCTTCTAATCAATACCGATATATTTTAACCGGAAAATAATAAAGTGTTGCTAATCAGGGAATAGCATACGTACAGATTTAAGAAATCCGTATGGCACAAATAAACGGAGACGCGAATATGAAATATTTCTGTTTCATATTAACGAACTATGACAGGATTCTTACAAAGGCTAGTATATTTATACAATAACATACTTTACAGAAAAACAGGCTAATTCAGAGAATTTGTGTCCCCCGCTTAGCATGCTTAGGGAAAAAGTAAACCATGCGCAGTTCGGGGGAGGGGGATCGAGTCGGATCCCCCTGACTGAATTTGTAGAATTATTAAATATTTTTTATTCCATTGTTAGAACACTTTAAATGTGTATCTTTATTACACCAATAAGTAAGAATAATTCTCATTGTATTAAGGATATCCGATCCTCAGCCAGGAAGGATAACCGATCCTCAGCCAGGAAGGATAACTCTGTAATTTAATTCAAAAAGTATTAAAATAAAGCTTGAAACTGAATTTTTTTCATGCAACAATTTTCATTTTATGCCTCTAAGTATAATTCAATGTTCTTTAAAGTTTTTATATACGGTATTTAAAAAAGTTGACATTTGTACCTCATAAAAGTAAGTAAAACTTGCATATTTAAAAAATCAAAGTTCTTTTAATTTAGCTTGTTACCAATGTTTATAAGCATGATTTGAAATTAGAAGTGATTTACGGTGTTTTCTTTGATAGGAAACACTTTATACACTATGCATTATAAAACGATGGAAGTAAGTAGGAGAAACAAAAGTACCGAATAAGTATAAAAATCATACAATTTTCTTCAAAAGCCTGGATACCTAGTATGATTTTTATACCTAAAATGTGTTTATTGATCAATTGTCAATTAAGAAAGATGCAGTAGGTAGTTCTAATCGCATTTCCTGAAAATTTATTTGAGATTTACTAATATTCTCTATATAATATGATTAATTTTAAAGATGAAGTTTTAAGAAACACCGTGAGTAAATATATTTTACTTTGAGAATTTAGAGACATCTTTGTGAGCATTTTCAATTACTCAATGCCTTATTTTCATAACCTGGGGATCGGATTACCTTTTTAAGCCTTAAAGATAGATGATTTTTGGTCCATCAACAGTGAAAAATCTGCCGGTTGCTAAGGAAATTTCTTTGGCCGGGTTTCCATGGTAACCATGACTCAAAACATTTTTCATTTTACATACACTGTTCATACTTCCAAATAAATCTGTGAATGGAAAATCATCAAATTCTCAAAACCTTCGTGTATCACTTTCATACAATTTTGTCTGATTAGCTCTACTGGTTAGAGACCCAGAAGAGCTTATAAATGCGATATTAATGCGTCCGGCGTCCGTCCGTCTGTCTGTCTGTCCGTCTGACACTGTGTGTCTGTAAACAGATTTTCAAAATGCTACTCCTCCTACAGCTTTGGTCTGATTTCAATATAACTTGGCACACAAGTAGACTACACTAAGATACATAATTCTGTGTATCTGTTTTTGATTGATCGGTGTTGCCATGGTTACTAAAAATAGAAATTTCTGTGAAATTCTTTCAAAATGCTACTCCTCCTACAGTTTTGGTCTGATTTCAGTATGACTTGGCACACAAGTAGACTACACTAAGATACATAATCCTGTGTATCGGTTTTTGATTGAACGGTGTTGCCATGGTTACTAAAAATAGAAATTTCTCTGAAATTCTTTCAAAATGCTACTCCTCCTACAGTTTTGGTCTGATTTCAGTATGACTTGGCACACAAGTAGACTACACTAAGATACATAATTCTGTGTATCGGTTTTTGATTGAACGGTGTTGCCATGGTTACTAAAAATAGAAATTTCTCTGAAATTCTTTCAAAATGCTACTCCTCCTACAGTTTTGGTCTGATTTCAGTATGACTTGGCACACAAGTAGACTACACTAAGATACATAATTCTGTATATCGGTTTTTGATTGAACGGTGTTGCCGTGGTTACTAAAAATAGAAATTTCTGTGAAATTCTTTCAAAATGCTACTCCTCCTACAGTTTTGGTTTGATTTCAAAATAACTTGGTACACAAGTAGACTACATCAATGTACATAATTCTGACTATCGGTTTTTGATTTCGATGAATGGTGTTGCCGTGGTTACTGAAAATAGAAATTTCTGAGAAATTCTTTCAAAATGCTACTCCTACTACAGTTTTTGTCTGATTTTAAAATAACTTGGCACACAAGTAGACTACACTAAGATACACAATAATATTGTGTATATCGGTTTTTGACTTCGATGAACATTATTGCCTTGGTTACTTAAAATGGAAATTTCTGTGAAATTCTCTTAAAATGCTACAGTTTTTGTCTGATTATAATATACATGTAATGTGGCATGCAAGTAGACTACACTAAGAACATAAAGAGACTTAATCAAGGATTATTATTCTATTTATTGCTGTTGTAAAGTTTCAATTCCCAACTGCTTAAGTACTTTTCTCTTCCTTTGCTATAAGTATAAACCAGTAGAGCTTCAGTCTCGACAGAGACTTCTGGTTTTTATGTGGACTGGTACTTAAGGTATCCGATCCATATTAGCCTCAGATTCAATGGAACAGAATGCATAATATATAGATATATATGGGCTGAATAATCAGTGTAGTTAGAACTAATTTTCATCTTTTAGTACAGGGTGTTTCATAATATATGTTACATTTTGAATCATTAGTTTGACAAAAACAAGAAAAAGATATAGATAAGTCTTTATATCAAATTAATGCATGTATCCATAAGATTCATTATGTTTAATTACCAATCAAAATATTAAACTCTGAACAAAATCTTACACATTAATGAAAATTAGCGAAATTTCCAAGTTGCGTCATTTTTTACTTAACTACGATGTATTTCACGTCAACAGGTCACATTACATGTTCTAAATGATCTCTATTTTTTCAACAACAAATGAAAGTTGCTTCTAAAGATTATAGCCTAGTCACATATTTTTGCTTAGACAATCCTCATTTGAAGGTCTATGTTCTTTTTTTTTTTTAGCTCAATCAGTATCTGTGGTCTAGGATTGTAGACCTTGTTCTTTAAGAACCCCTGCAGAAAAAACCCAAATATTGAGATTGTCGAATGCAAAGGTCAAACTCTTTCCTTGCATTATCGAAAATGTGTACGCTAACAACTTCAAACCATATTTCAAAGTTAAATGTATGCTGAAAATGCTGATAATGACAGCATCAATTTCTGAAAATATCTACATCTATCAGACATATCAGAAGTTTGCAACACTAAGAGTCTCCATTTCACAAAATAAATCTCCGCTTCTTTTAAAGTCTTTAGGCTTACTGGAATACCGTGTCATTTATCCCATATATTGCCTGTCCCTGTCCTTTAACCTTGCTACTAGCCTTCTGATAGGCATCCTAGAAAGCTTACTATTCTTTTGCAAAATTTATTTCATTAACTTCTGAATCAATTTTGGCGATATTAATTGAAAAAAAAACAGCTTTAAAATTCAGGACTGAGTTGATATAATTTAAGTCCATTTAAAAAATATTCAAATTATGGCAACCGCGTTTATATCACAATTAATCATTGTAAGACCACGATTTCCATGACTTTTTCACATGGAACGAAAATGCAGAATTTGATGTTTAAAATGATATATAGTTTTTAATAGAAGTATAATAGGTAAGAGAAATAATTAGATTTAAAAATGTAACATATATTATGAAACACCCTGTATAAGAATGTAAGAGTCGGACATGTCCTAATTTATGACCTTTTCCTGCCCTTGACGAGTTATCTCCCTTTGATTTTACTCAATAAAAATTAATTTTAAAAAATCTGTCTGGTAAAAAAATTATTTTTAATTTGTTTTTCTATTCCCAATGATCAAATACATCTTTCCACCACAGCATTTTTTGATATTTGAAGTATTTATTTTTTTATCTTAAAAAACTTACTTCCTTCCATAGACTTCAATGCAATCTTCAATAATTAATTTCTGCTTAGGTAATAAAATTTTTGAAAATTTCTCTTGGTAAATCCCTTTCTACTCTAAAATGCTTTAAAATAATATCAGGATATATTACAAACAATTGATATTTAAGGTTAGAAATTTTGGTCCTAATATGGGTCGAATACCTTAAATGTATACTAAAGCAAATAAAATATGCCAATATGGATATAAAGATTTGATTGCTTATTCTTTATTATGTGTATAGAAGATTCTTTTTATATTGAATATTTATCACACTGTGATGATGATTTTATGAGTTTGTACAAGCCAGACCTCATAATTTTTTCATTTCACATGCTGAATACTATCATTTAGTAAAAAAAAAAAGCATTTCGAAAAAAAAAAATGGATTGTTCGGCATTCGGAATAAAATATCTATCTATGAAATAAATATAGGATCTCCCATGATTTGTAGTTGGATATGATTTTTATCCAAGGAGTTGTGTGATTTTTATCCCCGAGCTTTGGCGAGGGGATAAAAACACACAACGAGTTACACAAAAGTCATATCCAACTACATATCACAGGAGATTCTTTTTATCCCATGTTTAATGCTTCACAACCGATGTTTTACACTGTTTTATATAGCACACTACTTTATTTTTAACTGTGGGATATGAAAAATTTATCCAATGAGTCATATCCACGGGATAAAGGGGCAAACACGGGATAAAAACCCTATTTTTGACAGATGGAAGAAAATTAAATCTGAGAAAAATTTTTATTGGTCCGTAGGGATGATTATAAAGGATTAGGAGGTATATAAAATTAAAAATATTTCAAATTAGTATAAAAATCATGACAATTTCTCTGGATGCCTGGGTGCCTATCGTTTTTAACAATTACCTTAATTAAACAATTGACATGCGCAATAGCATTACTATAGTTCCGAAACAACTCTTCCTATCGGTTAGTGTTTCTTGTACATTTGACAAGGTTTAATTCAAGCCTGTTCTTTTTATTAACAAATGTACATAATTATAGACATGTACAGAGAATATTCAAGTCATTCATTTCTTGAAGACGAAATGAGACTCAATCCATGGCCAGTTGTAACCAAACTTCTTTTCGTCAGCTTTTACTTACAAAATAATATGACTGTTCTTAGACTGTTTTGTGGCAATATGGAAAGCCACATGAATATTTCGCCTTCCTTGCTGTAAACTTACCCTATTTTTTCCATTGTTTTCTCAGGTACTAAGAGTAGTTTAAATACTGTGTCAGAGATCTTTGTTCCCTCTAGACTTTGCATCTATCCTCATCTTTTGGAAAATTAATGTGTTTCAAGCCTTTCAATAGAATGTAGAAATAAGCTATGAGATCCCTTGGCTATGTTTTCTGATCATTAAGGAGAAAAATGCTGAAATTAAAAAATTAAATACATGTAAAACCTAGCTATCGTTTAAACATTTTAATCAGTTGTACATGTTTCATCTGCTCTACTGTTTTCTTTCTTGGTCATTCTGTGAATTTTATTCTTGTTCAAAGAATAAAAACTGTTTTGTTCCTTTATATGCCAATGCCAAACAATGTCCGAGTACTATATTATGACACTAAATGGTATAAAAAAAAAATCTTTTTTCTTGTCAGTCAAGGCCTTGACAAGTTACAAATGTGTCTGTTTTCTTTATCATTTCAAGTGTCTTCTGTTTATTTTTGCTTAATATTGGTTACTTTTAAGTTCGAAACACAGGAACGTTAACCTAATATGGTTCTTAATCAGGTCATCCGAAACACCTTTATGCAAAACTTGCAAACAAGCATACAAACAAAGAAAGTTCAAGCTTTATGCACTTGATAATATCAACTTAAAATAAGTGTTATTGCATTTTTGACCTATTGAGCAACCAAGAAGGACTTTCCGGTTCCTTATCATTTCCAGAATCGGGTTCGGCAACGATGGAATGTTTGTCAAAACACCTATTTAACCCTAAAGCACCGCGATAAACCGTCAAAGCTCAGATACTGTAACAAAGGTAAGACGAACTTGTATTCTTTTCCAATTTTTTTTTTATTATAGCAGAGGTAAGTATGAGAACGACATGAATTTTACTTGTATATAAATTTTCTACATAATATTATAGGGTGTGTCCTAATATATTGAATCTCTCTCTCTCTCTCTCTCTCTCTCATTTTATCTTTAAAATACTATAAAATAATTTTTAACGATGTTAAAGAATTTTATCCGTATCTTTTTATTTATCGATGAAGATGGTATTTGAATTGAGCAAGCCATAATATATCTTAAGACGAGAAATTGTCTATTAGTTATACTAAAATACGCAGTAGTTTGATCAAGTTCGACTTTGGTCCAACTCTGATAACGAAAATGTATTTCCCGGATGACTTCATATTCATGTACTATAAATATCCATGCAAGTTATATCGTTGTCATATGCACGGATTCTTACATGATCAACACATGGTTAAACAACTAGGCGTATTTTAACAATTCAAAAAATAGTCTGTTTTAAGATACAACAAAGGCATACATTTATAAAATGCTTTTTCTCAATGTAAGGATTTTAGAAAGAAAAGAGAAATTGTTATGTACAGCATGTACAGTATCTACAGTCTTGTTAAGGGTCGTTTTTTTCGCAAGTTTTATGGCCGACATAATGACCTTGTCAGCAAATACAACATTAAATGAAATTCTTAAATTATAAGCAAATGACTATATTTTTATTTAAAATTTGAAATAAATAAATTATTAATTACACACTGAATTGTCTAAGTATTTTTCGGTTTTTTCGATCATGATAAGGAACACACGGCGGGTGTGACCGGACGGCATGCTCAATCCTCCATGGCACCTATTAAATCACAAGTTTTTGTGGGGGGTTAATTTTCGTTGTTTTCGAAGTGTGAAGAGGCCCACGAATTCATGTCCACCACGAAATGTAAAATGTGACATACATATAACTAGGCCTACTGAACAATTCTACATCCACGAAATCAAATCCCCACGAACCAAGTTTTTTTCGTCAAACCACGAAAATTTGATTCCGCGAAAATATATGACTTTGCAGTAATCCCACTATTGATGTTTTCAGAGTTCCGTGTTTGCTCTACTTTCGATTTGTTTTGTCTTAATGGACCTTGAGCTTGAAAACTGTTCGTTAAATAACATTAATAATAATAATAATATTATTAAATTTCAACAAATTTCACAATAACAGTTTTTCAATATACATGTATCCAATAAAATTCGCTATAAGCACTTGTGATAAATAATAATCTGGAGGCTTTCTTTTACAGAATGTGGACGATTTTCTTGGTCGCCTGTTTGGCGACAGCGTTTGCTCAGGAGTAAGTGTATAATTTGTCACATATATCAGACATTCTAAAAATTGGTTATGTTATGTGAAAATTTCCTCGTAAACTTTGTGCCAAAATGTTTTTGAATTATTTCAATTCTATTTTTACACAGCTCTTACATAGTGATCGCTCCGTCAGACGTCCGTCCTGGTGTACCCCTCAGTATTAGTGTCAACATTCTACAAGCTCACGCCAACGTCAACGTGAAGGCCGACCTGATCCAGAAGTCCAACAATCAGCATGTAGCTACAGCCCACGGAACCTTCTCTCAAAGTAAAACTCTAATGATAAATAATTAAAGCTACAGCCCACGGAACCTTCTTTCAAAGTAAAACTATGAAGACATTTGGTAGTAGCACATGGAACTTTCACTTTTGGGAAACACTAACAATATTCTAGCAATAGTACAGAGATCCTTACTTGAAACACCAATAATTGTTTGACTACAGTACTTAGAAACTTAATTGACAAAAATACCCTTTTGGATAAAACACATCGGATCCTTAAAAAAATATTGCTAACAATAATACACAATAAATAATTAATGTATACCTAGAGTACAAATAACTCTTATCTACAAATTCCAACTCAGAACAAGTGTTTTCTTGAACTAGATGAAACTTATGAGTTAAGGCATTTAATTGCAAAACAATAACATCGGTTTATTTTAAATGTATTCACTTGAATAAATATCAGACTAAGATTTTATTGTAAAAAAAGATGAACATTTTTTTTTGTTTTAGATGTTCCTGGGACACTGACAATTCAGGTAGGAAATATATTTCATTTAATCTGTTTTTATTCATCAAAGGCTTCTCAAAAAAAATGAAAGATCAAGTTCTCTTTAAAAAAATTAATCGGAAATTATTTCAAATTTTATATCTTTGGATATTGTGTCAACAGGGATATTCCTTTCAAATGACATTTTGTAAAAATTAAATCTTAGGTTCCAGATGAACTTGGCCCGGGGTCCTATAAACTTTCTGTTCATGGAACTCATGGTTTGAAGTTTTCTAATGAGACAGACTTAAATTACCAATCTAAGAGTGTCTCCATCTTCATCCAGACTGACAAAGCTATGTACAAACCGGGACAAACAGGTAAATCTAATCGTACATAATCTTAAGTTATATCTTTTAAAATAGCTCTATAATAATTAATTAATATAAAAATTATTCTGATACAAATGCTTTCTCATGGAATAAATAAGTTGTGCATATCAAAATATTCAATAAAGTTTAAATTGCAGATATTTTGAATTGATGTTAGTTTCCTTGTATTCAGTGCTTCCATTGAAATAAAGCTTGTTTGACATTTGGCATCAGTGCTTTTTCAATAATTGACTATTCTATTGAAAGTATATCCGTTTGTTATAAGTACAATGTATGTTTTTTCTCTTTGACGCATTATAAATCAGTGAAGATTGGTTCTCAGATACCAAAAATTAAATTCAATGGAATTCATAATTTCGCAATAAATGCCCAAATGAGCATCCGAGCTGGTTAATTTGCCATCACTGGAATGCAAGTGATTCTGATCCACCCCAATTCATACAAACCAATTGGAGCGGATCAGAAACACTTCTCTAGCAAAGATAGAATGTTGCATGTCGGATAATGACCTGTTCCATTGTGCATAGAAATATCAAGCATATATTTATCGATGCGGTACTTGTATCACGAACTTGAACTCTTAGCCACAGTTTAGGTGATATGTAAAGATAATAACCAGTGTTCAAGCTCAAAGTCCTAAAATACAAATGAAAAGCAGAGCACACTTTAGGCACTATGCTCAAGTAAGCAACCCTTGTCGTCTTTATTTTAAAAAATGTCTTGTCCAAAGTCAGTCTTTCAATCGGATATATTACTCCTCAAGGTCATCTTTTATGACCATTAACAAGAATAACTCACTATCTATTAATTGGAAATCGGAACGACCAGACAGGTCATTGAAAAACAAGTTGATGATACAAGTGTATATACAATTTCGTTTGAATTGAAAAAAAATATATCGCAATTTCTATAGTTGACATTAATCTGATTTGTAAATGGAATCTGTCGATAGGTCGAATGTTAACATTTTTCATAAAATTATTAGGCCAATACTTTCATTCTGAATTGTTATCGTCTAACCAAACATGACGAAGAAAACGCAGCGGATGTGTCGGTCGAAGGAAGTATACGACTACATGGCACCTGATTCAACCTCTGATGTTTTAAAGGCCCGTGTTTGCTTAGCCAGCTCAAAGGACATGAGAATAATCACTTCCGCTATATTCTTAGTTCAAAAAGAAAAATATATATATATAAACACTTTATAAGACTTCCACTATCTTATGATTTTCTTTTCATTAGAACAGATGTATTTGTACATATACATGTAAAAGAAGATACTCATTTTCAAATCTGATTTTTTGCATTTCAGTGCATTTTCGTGCCTTTGCCATCTATCCTAACATGAGTACATATACAGGACCCATGGATATTGAGATTTATGTATGTATTATATGTTCATTAGTTTAATTTCTCTTAAAGATAGTAAACTTTATTTCCCTTTTGGGTTAAGAAAATTTAGAGTTAAGTATACCTTTAAGTGTCATTTGCAATTGCGTGTAAAGTTCGGTTATTCTACCTGGATATTGCCAATACTTATATATTTAAGGGTTCTTACCACAAACAAAAAATGGATGCGCGGTTGATATAATTTTTTTGACTGATTTTGATTTGTAATGACATAAATAATAAATCCCTGAAATATAAAGAAATCGTAGGTTTTCCTTGGTGCTTAGATTTAAGATTTTATTTTGCCTTCTATATAATTCCATACAAAATTTTGCACAATTTTTTAACTTTATGACAAAATCTTATAAAATTCTCCCACTCTACTTGGTAAACATTATTCAGGTTGTCAATTTAAATGTAAATCTAGGAGAAATAATGCTGATTTCTGAAAAACAAGAGGCCCATGGACCCACATCGCTCCCCTGAGCACCAAGGGTAGGACTAGTATAAAATGGCTTTTTATTGTAAAGTTTAAATCCAAAAGTAGTCCCATGACCAATCATGGATTTGCTATTTTTTAGAAAATGATTGAGAAGAAGATTTTTAAAGAATTTTCCTATATATTTCTATGTAAAACTTTGGTCGGCCATTTTGGCCCCGCCCTACCCCCGGAGGTCATGATTTGAACAAAATTGAATCTACACTACCTGAACATGCTTCCATATAAATATGATGAATAATGGCTTTGTCATTCTTGAGAAGAAGATTTTTAAAGAATTTTCCTATATATCTCTATGTAAAACCTTGGTCGGCCATCTTTGCCACGCCCTACCCCCGGGGGTCATGATCTGAACAAACTTGAATCTACACCACCTGAGCATGCTTCCATATATATATGATGAATTATGGCTTTGTCATTCTTGAGAAGAAGATTTTTAAAGAATTTTCCTATATATTTCTATGTAAAACTTTGGTCGGCCATTTTGGCCCCGCCCTACCCCCGGGGGTCATGATTTGAACAAATTTGAATCTACACTACATGAGCATGCTCCCATATAAATATGATGAATTATGGCTTTGTCATTCTTGAGAAGAAGATTTTTAAAGAATTTTCCTATATATTTCTATGTAAAACTTTGGTCGGCCATTTTGGCCCCGCCCTACCCCCGGGGGTCATGATTTGAACAAACTTGAATCTACACTACCTGAGCATGCTCCCATATTAATATGATGAATTATGGCTTTGTCATTCTTGAGAAGAAGATTTTTAAAGAATTTTCCTATATATTTCTATGTAAAACTTTGGTCGGCCATTTTGGCCCCGCCCTACCCCCGGGGGTCATGATTTGAACAAACTTGAATCTACACTACATGAGCATGTTTCCATATAAATATGATGAATTATGGCTTTGTCATTCTTGTTAGAAGAAGATTTTTAAAGAATTTTCCTATATATTTCTATGTAAAACTTTGGTCGGCCATTTTGGCCCCGCCCTACCCCCGGGGGTCATGATTTGAACAAACTTGAATCTACACTACCTGAGCATGCTTCCATATAAATATGATGAATTATGGCTTTGTCATTCTTGAGAAGAAGATTTTTAAAGAATTTTCCTATATATTTCTATGTAAAACTTTGGTCGGCCATTTTGGCCCCGCCCTACCCCCGGGGGTCATGATTTGAACAAATTGAATCTACACTACATGAGCATGCTCCCATATAAATATGATGAATTATGGCTTTGTCATTCTTGAGAAGAAGATTTTTAAAGAATTTTCCTATATATTTCTATGTAAAACTTTGGTCGGCCATTTTGGCCCCGCCCTACCCCCGGGGGTCATGATTTGAACAAATTTGAATCTAAACTACATGAGCATGCTCCCATATAAATATGATGAATTATGGCTTTGTCATTCTTGAGAAGAAGATTTTTAAAGAATTTTCCTATATATTTCTATGTAAAACTTTGGTCGGCCATTTTGGCCCCGCCCTACCCCCAGGGGTCATGATTTGAACAAATTTGAATCTACACTACCTGAGCATGTTTCCATATAAATATGATGAATTATGGCTTTGTCATTCTTGAGAAGAAGATTTTTAAAGAATTTTCCTATATATTTCTATGTAAAACTTTTTTCGGCCATTTTGGCCCCGCCCTACCCCCGGGGGTCATGATTTGAACAAACTTGAATCTACACCACCTGAGCATGCTTCCATATAAATATGATGAATTATGGCTTTGTCATTCTTGAGAAGAAGATTTTTAAAGAATTTTCCTATATATTTCTATGTAAAACTTTGGTCGGCCATTTTGGCCCCGCCCTACCCCCGGGGGTCATGATTTGAACAAACTTGAATCTACACTACATGAGCATGCTCCCATATTAATATAATGAATTATGGCTTTGTCATTCTTGAGAAGAAGATTTTTAAAGAATTTTCCTATATATTTCTATGTAAAACTTTGGTCGGCCATTTTGGCCCCGCCCTACCCCCGGGGGTCATGATTTGAACAAACTTGAATCTACACTACATGAGCATGCTCCCATATAAATATGATGAATTATGGCTTTGTCATTCTTGAGAAGAAGATTTTTAAAGAATTTTCCTATATATTTCTATGTAAAACTTTGGTCGGCCATTTTGGCCCCGCCCTACCCCCGGGGGTCATGATTTGAACAAATTTGAATCTAAACTACATGAGCATGCTCCCATATAAATATGATGAATTATGGCTTTGTCATTCTTGAGAAGAAGATTTTTAAAGAATTTTCCTATATATTTCTATGTAAAACTTTGGTCGGCCATTTTGGCCCCGCCCTACCCCCGGGGGTCATGATTTGAACAAACTTGAATCTACACTACCTGAGGATGTTTCCCCATAAGTTTCATCTTTCCTGGCACAGTGGTTCTTGAGAAGAAGATTTTTAAAATATACCACTAAATTTTCATTAATTCCCAATTATCTCCCCTTGAATAAGGGCGTGGCCCTTCATTTGAACAAACTTGAATCCCCTTCACCCAAGGATACTTTGTGGCAAGTTTGGTTGAAATTGGCCCAGCGGTTCTTGAGAAGAAGTTGAAAATGTGAAAAGTTTACAGACAGACAGACGGACAGACGGACAGACGGACGCCGGACAAAATGTGATCAGAAAAGCTCACTTGAGCCTTCGGCTCAGGTGAGCTAAAAAGTTTGTGTTATTTATCCTTAAACTAGAGGTACCGTGAGCACTGAGCTCATAAAATGATACCCCGCCTCACAAAACTGTTTAAATGACAAAGTCCATGTAGTGTATGGGAGACCTGAAATCAGTGTCAGATCAAAAAGAGTTGCGGATAAGAGATGGATAACCTTCAATATTATATATAGAAAGAATGGCAGTGTCCATGTTTTTCTACGGGAAACCCGAAATATGTGTCTGATCAAAAAAGAAAATAGTTCACAATAGCACTTTGTAAGAAAGATTACGTGAAAGTATCATTAAATTACATACAGTGGAATATAACAAGAGTTGCGAACAAGAGATGGGTACTCCAAAGCGTAACGGACGCTCAAACGGACACCCCGTCACTATAAACCCCCTGTTTTTCAAGCGAGTGTATAAAACTATAGAACCACTTGCCTTATAGTTTACTGTACAAAGATTTTTATTCTGTGGAAAATAGCAAAATAACGATTATGATATTATTATTTGCTATAGGACCCCAACACCAACAAAATCAAACAGATCCTGGGGGCCAGAGACGCCACAGGTGTGGTCACTAACTTCCTGGAGGTGGATTCTCAACCTGTTCTTGGAGACTGGAAAATCAAAGTCACAGCACATGTAAGTGATAACATGTTTATACATAAATAAATTCATTTCCCTCAAAAATGTACTTCTGTAATCATACTTTTTTCTACGAGGTCATAATGCCACAGAATCTCAATTTCGATAATTTCAATCTGCAGAGAATTTCTTGTATGCTAAAATAATGATAAATGATGTCCTCTTTATTTAACTATGTGTGTAAATAAAATTTTTCAAGCAGTTTCTGACCATGTACTTACCTTCAACGGATTCCAAGAGGAAGAATAGGTCTATAGTCCTAGTATACTAGATTTTCTGAAAAAAAAAGAAACATGAGAAATAAATAAAGAATTTATATGTATTTTCTTTTGCTTTGCTTTTCTAGGGAAAATCTACAGAGAAGACATTTACTATTGCACACTATGGTAAGAAACATTAATTTACATTAGACCATATCTTTAAAAAAAATTGTTTGGTTGTCCTATCCCACTATCTCAAAACTTTCTTACATTGCAGGACACGATTTTATAAAATTCTTTTTGTTCCTCTTATCCCGTCAACAAATATGTTGAAATTTTCTTTTAAAAAAAGATTTTCCAAACTACCTATAAATATACCCTTAGACAGGATAGGGCAATCAAACATGATCTTAATCAAAATTAAGAAGCCTTTCATTTATTTCTTATAAGCTACAGATTCCGACGTCTCACAAAATCACAGTTATCCTTAACATTGCTTCCACAGAAAGAAAACACATATTTAAACAAATAAAATCTGTGAAAGGAATTAGAATATTCTAATGCTAAAATGTGAATTTTTTTCAGTTTTGCCAAAGTTTGAAGTAACTGTTGAACTGCCCTCATTCGCTCTGTCTTCAGACACCAGCATCCAGGGAACAGTAAAAGCCAAGTACGCATGGTCTCTATGCATTTGTTAACAAATGTATTATACGGTAGTTTAAATAGCTAGGTTTGCAAATACTTTCACCAAAGTGCAAAATAATTTCAATGTTCTGCTTCTCTCAGAAAATTCCATTTGCTTTCTGACTAAAACTTTTGAATTCTCGATGCAATGAAAACTTTCTATTTGAATAGATACACATATGGAAAACCAGTCGAAGGCACTGTGAAGATTCGCGCCAAAAATGAATACTGGTATCGACCATGGAATTATCATGGTGACGAACCCATGATCGAGCAAACTCTTACACTGGTACATGATTGTCCTTATCTAAAGGAAATGTTCATTACAAACAGTTGAATCATTAAAAACTATTTCAAGAAGTATTTTCTTTCATGTTCCCATAACTGTGCAAGCTGCTTTTTCTAAAAGTATCCTTCTCAAAATATAAACATACCCAATACTTTGAAAGATCACCCTTTTTCAAGGTTGTCAACCTTTTCACAAAATCAAATGTTTATTTTATTTAACATATTTTTTAATAAGACTAACGGAGAGGCTAAGTTTACCCTATCCGGCCTCAGCACACTGAATAAATACCTCAACGAACGGTACATCACAGTGGAGGCCAATGTCACAGAGAGCCTAACCAAAATAACACTGAATGGCAAAGGCAAAATTCAGTTCCACCAACATGCCGAAAAAATCGAGTTCCTTGCTTCAAATCCAAACACCTTTAAGCCTGGTTTACCATATACAGCATACGTAAGTGTGTTTAATCTTTTAGAATAGTTTACACTTTACATGTTTTTATTATATCAAATTGAAACAAAAATGCAAAGAATGTTTGTATCAGGACTGTCAAAAATAAAGCTGAAAATTTATTCTTTGACTTACAAAAAGTTCATTACATTGTTTAAGAAACAAATTCACCTTAACTTTCAAAAAAAATTTTATGAAATATTTTTAACAAAATGTCCAAAAATATCAGATTTTTATATTAAATTGCCTTTTTTAATACAAATTTTAGGTCAGAGTTACTCGTCAAGACGGAAGTCCCATAATGGGAACGAAGAAATCGGTCGTCATACACGAGACAGTGACGGCTGAGTTGCCACCACCCTCCACCACCCCGCGATACTACTGGGGACCCCAGACGATGAATTACAAACTGGACGACCAGACCTTTACCCTCCCAGACACCGGTGTGGTGGCCATACAGGTCCAGGTGCCAGAAAACGCCACAAGTCTCAGCCTCCGAGTGAGTTTTGTTGAAAATTTCAATTAGGATACACATGTCTGTAATCCATAAAATACAAGAAATTAAGATTATTTTTTTAATATACTTTTTCGTTTAAATGGGTGTGAATTATAAAAGTTTCAATCTTTTGTTTTATTTTACTAGGCGCAATATGACCAAGTTACCAGCTATAAGTCTCTCCAAAAGAGTTATTCTCCAAGTGATAGCTACATGCAACTGTTCCTGAGATCTACTTCTTTGCGCGTAAGTACTAACAAATCTCGAAAATATGCTTATGTTTGAAATTATCTTTAAAATAAAAATAAAAATGCATCAGTTAAAAAGGTTTTATGCATTCAAAGATATCCAAATGTTTACAGGCAGGCAATGTCGCAAACTTTGAAGTTCAATCAACTCAAGGATTACAAAAACTTACGTACCAGGTAATGGTTGATTATTACGTAAATGTGATTTTCATTCTGTAGTCTAACTCTTTCATTTATATCCTATATCCCTGTACAAAAAAATAAAAATATCAGCCAAATTTATGATTATAAATTTATTTTAAAGGAGAATGGTCCGATATAATAAAAGCATTTACTTTAGAAATGAAGAGATAAAAATGAAATATATCCTAAATAAGTTTACCATGAGACAATTCTTATCGAAAATGACTTTTTTAAAAAGTAATTTATTAAAAAATCATGTTCTAAATTTTGAATTTACTGGGTGAGGTTATTGTAAAATTTATTATGATGTAAACCTTGCATTAACCAAGCCTAATAGATTCATAAATAATTAATACGACATGATAATAACATTTAGCAGTAGAATGTAATGTAATTTTGTAATGGACAGCAAGACAATATTTTTTGAAAATGGACGCTTTTTTATATAGATTTTGTCACGTGGTTCTATCGTCCACACCGGATCAGTGGACGGTAACGACAGAACGTCCCTCACATTCAGTGTAGCACTCACAGATAAAATGGCACCAAATGCCAGGATTGTAACATATTACGTCAGAAGTGATGGAGAAATCGTCACCGACAGCATCAGCTTCAACGTAGACGGAGTGTTTCAAAATCAGGTATAAAGAATACAAGTTTGAATAATTTTACTTTATACGATATATATATATGATAGAAGTTAACAAAGATTGCAGAAAAAAGATGAATATATCTGATGCTGTAAGAGCTATTCTTTAATAAGGACATTGAGAACGTTTATTATCTGTTTTTAGGTGTCGTTAAGTTTTGATAAAACAAAAGCCCAACCTGGAGAGAATGTCAACGTTCGCGTCACAGCGGATCCAATGTCGACAGTCAATCTTCTGGCGGTGGACCAAAGCGTTCTGTTGTTGAAATCAGGAAATGACATCACCCAAGAACAGGTATATACCTTATGATAAAATAACAGATTTTAAATAACAATGAAACAATTCGGTAATTCTTGAATTGTATGAACTGAAATAATTTTTCTATATCCTTTTTTGAATGGTAGGTTATCGACGAGTTAAAAACATACGATACTATTCACCACCACAACAATGGGCCTGTTTTCTTTGGCGGAGGAGGCATCATGCCCTTAGGTAGAAAGAAACGCATGATCTGGTGGCCTTATCCCACCTACTACGGCGGATCTGATGCGTCACAGATATTTGAGGTTTGTCACCAGTATATAAAATTGTGTAAAAGTTTTGATGCTTCTGAAGATATTTTCATACATCTGATTTCATACTAATATATATATATATATATATATATATATATATATATATATATATATATATATATATATATATATATAATACTATATATAGAAAACAGTAAAGGACTTTAAATACTGTAAAACAGCATGAAACAGGACAAAAACCTTCATACAGGATCTTAAAATTTAACATTACAAATCTAGATTAAAAATATTAATTTGGCATAAGGAATAAATTTATCTATCAACGTTCATTAAAATTTTAGAATGCTGGTGTAAAGATAATGACGGATGCTTTAGTGTTTAAACACCATGAACCCCCACACTGTAAGTATTCAAATTGAATTCCTTGATTAGTAAAAGGACAAATCCTGGAGGGTGAAATAAAATAAGATATATCAGTTGAATGCCCAGTTTTGTAACAATTTTTGACATTCTGTGTCAAGAAGTCCACTTCAGAGAAAGCGTGAAAATATTAAGTACACCTTTTTCAAGGTTCTTTTATTAATGGTTTTATATGCTTAGATATACACGTTGGGGGATTTTTGATGGGTGGTCTTATGCGGCCAATGGTTGTAACAACGACAGTCCCACCTCGTGTCCCAAACAATGAAATAAAAGAACCAAATCGTATTCGAAATGTTTTTCCTGAAACATGGCTGTGGACAAACGCATCAACCGGGTAAAAAGTCAATTTCATTTCCCAATGGGTGTTAGGGATTCAATGTTTAATGCAATTCCAAATTGCCCTCTGTTAATGTAAGCATGTTGCATAAACTGAGTATGTGGATAAATTCAGTTTTGTTGTGACATTTACATAGTAGTGCAGCTCCCAGAAATATGGCTAACTTAATTTTAACTTTAAGAATAAAATCTAAAATGTTCGTCAAATGTCATACATATCCATTATCTCCTCAGTTGCTCCGCTATTCAAAGACCAAAATTTGATCGATCATAAATGACTTACTAGTAGTCCATTTCGTGTTTCATGAACATCCTTTTTTATTTCGATTAGTTTATCCTTTTATGTCTGTGGATGGTGGGAAAAATATGATTATGGCGCCCATGCCTGTAATGCCCTCGGCCGTGTCCGGAATGGCTACAAGTTCCCAACTTAAGGAAGTTGGTCGCGTTCGAAGTGTTTTTCCTGAGACTTGGTTATGGACCAATGCCTCCATTGGGTACTTGTGGAATTATGCTTTGCTTTGAGATTCATATAAGGCATTGTAATTCGTTCTCCAGCATATACTGATTTCATGAAAAAAGCATAACTCTAGAACATTAATGTTTCTCTTAGATGACGTCTAAATTTGCAGATTTTTTAAGGATAAAGCACTACTTTGCTAGTTATTAATAGTGTCAGATGCATTTCTGTAGTATTCACATGAATTTAAATCTATAAATACATTTAGCATTATTTGTTTCTCCCTCATATTTCAATGGGATCTCCGACCACACTGGTTTATATTATGCTTCATAATAGTAATTGATACTAATAGTTTTACAAATTAGAATTTCACGAAAGTGTACACCTTTGAATAGTTAATGCGGCTTTTCAATGAAAAGCTTTTTCGCTGTGTTTTGTCCAAAGCGTTTTAAACGTCTGATTTATAAGACTGGGTAGGCAACTCGAGCAAACTGAAAACTTGGCTATTATTTGTAGAGGATATATACCAAATACCTAAGCACTTGTTATTAAAACCGGTATTTTTTTTGGTTAGATAAACACTGGAATAATTCAAAAGTTTATTAGTACTAAAAACTGCTTACCTTTTTACACACCGTAAAAACAATTAAGAAGCGATCAGGATTTTTTTTCAGGAAATGTGGACAAATGTATCTGTTAAATATGTTAAATAAATCAGTTACATATTGCTATATTCATAACAAAGAATAGTTTATTTTCCTTTGATTAACTCGAGTTCCATTGCATGTAGAAATTCAAATTGTCTTTGCCTTTGACGCGATGAAAATATAAAAAAAAAAGAAATTACGAGGGAATAAAAGCAATAACATTATTAACTGTAAGAAGAAATTGAAAACTGTTATGGTCTTATACACATCAAAATGTTGTGCATCAGCTTGATTTTATGTCATATTGTTGTTAACCTTTTGTTTAAGATATATTTTCCCCCCAAAAAAGAAATCTTTAATGAAAAAATCATCAGGTATCCTGAATTGTAATATAATTAAAGTTAATCTTAGCGGTTTTTTTTTCTGTAAAGCAATAGAACATAACGTTTTGTTTTCATTTAAAAGTTTATTTCAATGGGCCCTACCCAGGAGGGACTTATCCTCCTATTGGCATACCTTATAGTTCCCAACTTAAAGAAGTTAGTCGTGTTCGGAGTGTTTTTCCCGAGACCTGGTTATTGACCAATACAACCATTGGGTATCTATTTACTTTTGTAATCTGTGACCGTTGCTTGGAGTATCATAAAATGCATCGTAGTACTTCTTGTACATTGTTAAGTTAACCCTTCGTGTATGTTTTGGTGAAGTTGAGCGACGATTTTCAAAAGGGTGGCTGTATTTTACCAATTTTTTTTTATGTTTTATCCCCTGCTTGTCACAATATATGTGCATGTTATATAGCATGGTGTGTCTTGTACTACTTACGTTATTTTTGTGAAACAGAAGGCACATATCCTGCGATATTTTTAATAATATCATCTAATGAAAGAACTTTTTAAAACAATCTTTGGCACTCTAGCTACTTGTAAACAGGTGATGGTATTGTTTCCTAATTATGTGTGGATCCACAACGCAGTACTCACGAAAAGATCTTTAAACGATAAAAAGAACAAACCATTTCTTTTTAAAGACAAACGAGACGTTCCTCAACAATATATAATTTTCCAAAGATTTTGTCAGTGAAGTATTTCTAATCTAAGATGTTTACTAACAAAAAATTGCGGTACCTTACCAAGTATTTGTGCAAGACACCAGGGGGTGGTATTTCTTATATAGTTCATCAAAATTTGCTAAAATCACATTTTAATTTTTTTCTAATTTTTAATAACAATTAGAAACTGGTTTAAAAATCAAAAGTAATAAAAATTTTGTATATTTTTCATACATTGTGAAGATATACAAAACAGAAATTTAGGAAACGTATCGCCTGACCTTAAAAAAATAACCCACCCCCCCTTTATAATTTGAAGTGAGCTATCTACTTTGTTATTTGAACTACTTTTAAGCAATTTTGATGTATCGCTGTTTGATCATCTTTAAAAGCCCATTTTTAAGAATTGTGTCAAGATTTGCGGTGAACCTATACTTTTCTCTTTTTATTAACATCTCTGAGATACATCCACCTCCATAAATTTATCATTTTGGAAGATTTTGTAGACTCTATGATGGGTGCTGGTGGGGCTATCGATGCTATGATGCCCATGCCGGTTCCCGGCGCTCCGATGGGAGGCGGGGTAGCAGCAGGATCTAGTCCCCAGCCACTTAAATCAGTGGGGCGTGTTCGAAATGTTTTCCCTGAAACATGGCTGTGGTCAAATTGTTCCACTGGGTACCTGTTTTATTGCGTCTTATTTTAGTATAGCTAGAACTCTAAGCTTTTATATTTCAAAGGGGTTCGGACACAGATTCGAGGTAAATATTTTTTTTTTTTAATTTTCAATATACGTGACATATATGTTGCCAAATTTTAAAAAGCAGTTAACGAAGAAAATTTTGTCTCTAACATTGAAGAAATGTAAAAAAAAAAAAAATGTATTGTCACTTAAATACAGAAGACATGAGCAATTACAGTAAGTTTAATTCATTGAACTGAAGTTATATTTTGGGCATAAAAATAGAAATTTAAAATTGTCGATAAAATGTTAATGCAACTGTGTCTAGGTCCCTTTAAAGCGCCGAATAACATGTAATAGTTCTACCTACCTCGACCTCTTACTTATTCCCCGAAGAAAAAGAAAAGAAATTTAGAATAACTCGTACAGATTTATGAGAAATATGACTTCTATTTTTAATTTGAAATAGGCTCATAGATTTATGATTATGCAAAGTACATAATAAGTTTTCTCAATTTCTTGAATATATTCACTAATTTTTGTTAATGTTTGACTGTACATAATGTACAATTAATGATGAATCTGATCATTGTAATCTGCATGATTTACATATACATGTATCTGAATTTGCATATAGGAAAAAGTATATAACTTTTTAATTTTTATGGCTGATTTCAAGCCGGAGCGGAATTTTTTTTTGCTCTCGAACTTTCTCAGCATACCCCAGTTCTGCCTACTCTTTTTATTGTAAGGGTGTAATTTCAATACTTATTTGGTGGAAAGGCATAATCAATCATGCTTCCCTATTTCGATGTTTTACTATAATACTATATATTCTCTAGAAAAAAGTGTAATTATACATCATTGAACAAATCAAGAATAGACGTTTCTTTTTATCATCATTTATTGACACAAAGCCCATGTGTTGTAGAACACCAGTATCTTGCATCAATTTTAATTCTAACTTTACACACTTTATGAAGCATTTGATTAATTTTGCATCAAATCAATTACTCAGTAATTAAGGGGTTTCGTTAGCATGTTAACCCAAATTGTACTTTACCGTGTTGTCTTTTTTACTCTCACTTTTCTCTAGTTTGTTCTAAGCAATTTGAGAATAAACTGAACTGGCTGTTCTTCTTGCATATATCATTTCATGATTAACATAAGAAGTGCTTTTTCGTCGGCATTCCAGTTTTACTATTAGGAACATGTACATGTATATTATGTACGTTATCCACATAGCATTAATAAAATCGTGAAAAAGGTCCTCTAATAAATACTATTTTTGAACTTCTCATTTCATTTCAGTAGGTCGTTCTTCAACTAGAAAGTGAGCCGTTCATAAAGAAGGTTTAAACCAAAATTTCAAAAGCGTAAAATATATATGAATGGCGTAATAGCGTAATTTTGTCGTAAAAATCGGAAGAATTGTGCCAAACGCGGAAGGATATACAGGTTTACTTTCCTATATCTTCAGTATTTATAACTAACTAAAATATAAACGGATAATGTTAATGATGCGCTTTGGAATTTTATTCGAGCGTGCACTCTGATTTCATCTCGTTATTCATAAGTTGATCCTTACTTATCAGCTTTGACTGAGTGAGGCAACCATTTTCCAATTTGTGACTGAATCAGAAATACAAGTCAGACAAAATCCCCATGGTAATAATGCTTAATACTAAGGCCTCAATATTCATTTTATAATGAAGGTCTGTGCTTCTAAGACCTACAAGAGTTTTTGATAGGTGTTGAAATCGGGTAGCTGTTGCAAAAGTACTAGTACGTTTGAGCTTGAAATTGCAACTTATAGAAGTCTTGATGGATTTTCAGCATTTTAAGACTCTTGTACATAAGCTAGAAATTTCACTTTCGGAAGTATATATCACGATTGTTTTCAAATAGGGCTATTTGATAGGGGGTTTTGGTTGTTGTTTGTTTGTTTTGGCTTGTTTGTTTGATTGATTGATTGATTAATTTGTTTAGGGGAGAGGATTTTTATAGAAATTTAAATGCTTTTAATTTGTTTTCTTGCCACAGTTCTCAAATTTGTTTGAAATCAAGATATATTATTGGTCTTTAATTGCCGGAAAAGGTTATTGTAAATGTATTACATTTTGGCGTGTACGATATTTGGCGGAAATTCAATTTTCAACAAGTTAGCGTAGATTTGATTTAGCGCTGTCTGAAGTTGCTAGTTATAAAAGTCAATGTACAAGACATTTAGCGATGTACTTGAATTACCGGACTCTGCTCTCCGCCAAAATCGCTAAAAAGAATAAAGAATACACCACTAAATGTTATACGTTTACAGTATCTTTACTTTTTAAAAAATTATTTTTTTATTGCTTTCGGAATTAATGAGGCAAAGTCGATGTTATAGGAGGGGAAAGATTTACCACTCACATGACTTTCAACTATTGTATTGTATTTATAAATTCTTTATAGCTATTTTGAATTTTTAAAATGTCGGTTTTCAGGATTAATTCTAAGAAATCTTCGTATTCTGTAATTAAATAATTATAAAACAACAAGATGTCTTTTTCAATTTGATTTTCTTGGAGCACAACCTCATCTTAACATTTTTCTACTAATTACTAGTCGGGAAACTTAAATTAAATAAATAGAATTGAAAATTACTTTCTATACATTGCTACAATGTATTACAAAATAGCATATAAGCTTTAAAAAATGTGGAAATTATATTGAAAAGGACTTTGTCATATTTACTTAAGAATGTTACAAACTTTAAGTACTAAAAAAACCCATGTCTATAGTGTACATGTATGTAATTCACTCTAAAATCTTTTTTTTAAGTTTTACCTTTGCCTGCAACGGATGAGTTTGCAAAGGTAGTCATTGACAGCGTAGTTCCCACTTCCCAGCTTAAAGACACTAGTCGCATTCGAAGTGTCTTTCCCGAGACTTGGCTGTGGAACAATGTCTCTACTGGGTATTTTGACCCTAATGCATTCATGCATATAGCGTATAAGCAGAAATGTTAGCGAGGATTTAATTTTGGCATTATTAGCGAGGGTGCTGAGATCGCTAAAATTATATATCGCTAAAAATTAATTAAAATTTATATATCGCTAAAAAATAATTGCCTTTTATTTCTTATAGCTTCTTTAGTGAGAATTCTTAAATCGCTAAAATAACATCTCGCTAAAAGTAAAATACCACTTTTTAAGGAATCGCCAAATTTGCGTCTCGCTAACAATTTCCACTTATACGGTATAAAAAATTGCAGAATATTTTGGAAAGATCTTGCAAATATGCACTGTATGCTGCTGACCTTATTTCTTGTCTTCTCATACATGTTTACTGCCTGTAAGATTATAGGGAGAATGCATCTCTGCTCACTTTTTTATTCGATTAGGGGGTTATAAGAGACAGTTTTCGAACAGAAGATAGAGATTTTTAAAAAAAATATTTATATAATACAGGGCATCAGATAACAAAATTTTCTTAGATTAGATGGAGATTTCTTAGCGCAACAGTGACATTAAATGAACATTTTAGAGTTATATTGGCTTTTTGTACTTTTGAGAAATGTATATCTTTGCTATCTTATCGGATCTTATTCAAATTGTTTAAATTTGAAAAAAAAATATCATGCGCATCAATTTCTTTTGAAAATCTCCATAAAAACGCCAATTAAGCCAAGCAATTTCAAATCAAATTTTGAGTCCTTATTCGAAATTTTGAGGCGCAATTCAGAATTTAAATTTGTGTTTTCAATTATTTTTTATGGAGTGTGTCATCTGAGCAGAATAAGTGAAATCACTTTACGCCAATTTTTGCACAAGAATTTTTAACCTCTTTCTACATGATTCTAACTTTCAGTATTATTTACCAATAAGTTGGTTTTACTATAGAAAAAGTCCACTTATAAATGTGCAAGTTATCTGAGGAAAATATCTTTGTTTTGTTATTATTTTAAAGTGATGTACACAACAGCCCTGTTTGGAATGCCAATCATTAATGGCAGAGTACAAACTTCCCAGCTTAAAGACATTGGTCGCGTTCGAAGTGTCTTTCCAGAGACTTGGCTATGGACCAATGTCTCCACGGGGTATCTTAATTAGTCAACTGAAACTTATTTAATGCTAGATGCATTGCAAACATATAGGGAAAAAACAAATATACATGTATTTTTTTTGCTGACGATTGTGTGACTGGAATGGAGTTTAAATGGAAATATTTCTTCTGCTCACTAAAATAGAATTTTTCTGTAGAGCACAATAATTTTGAGGTACTTTTCAGAGATTAAAGAGATATCTGTACATTTTTGAACACGATGAAAATTATCAAGGCAACAATGTCCTTCATTCATTAATTTAGAGTCATTCCTCTTTGCCATGAGATTATATATGTTACATAAAACATTACATTAGAAAATTTTGCTGAGTTTTCTATTCTTCAATAAAAATCTGCAATATAACTGACTCCAAATATGTTTTGTAAATAGAAAATAATTATAACAGAGAGACATATACATGTAACATCGTCATTACTTTTCTCGCTTTTGTCATTACATTTCGATTTTTAAAAAAAGTAAATACTCACTGACATAAATTTTAAAATGAAGATATCGATCAAAATTTATATTTCCAATCGTTTTCTCTTAAAAAGTTATTAAGTGTGTTAATTTGTCGATAATTACGCGTGAATATAATATTCGAAAAATGAAAGGTCTAAAAAGCATGTTTTTTTCGACCTCAGTGGACTTGGATTATAAAAATAAGCGTGGAATGCGCTGTATAAAATTCCTTTTTATATCACCCGCTTGAAAAGTGGGAGGGTATACAGTGATCGGGATGTCTGTTCGTCCGTCTGTTACGCTTTGAGGTACCCATCTCCGCAACTCCACTTATACCACTGAATGAAATTAAATGAGACATTCACAGAATCATTGTTACATTGTGTCATATAGCACCTCTTATTTTACTTTTGATCCGACACATGTTTTAGTTTTCCAATAGCAAAAGAT